GGTCTAACAGTGATGATGCCAACAGGATTCTGAGCTTGTTCAGTTCACTTTATCTCCCTAACATTAAGTTTAATATTATCCACCAATCTCTCATATCTTCGAACAGGTTCTGTTACAAAAAAAATAGTAAATTTTTTTTCACAACCACACAAGCTACATGCCAAGCCCATCATGTTAATATCAGTTTAGCCGTAAACTTCATGATGTTCATCATTATAAAGTATTCCCCCTTCTCCACTTACTGCATCTTTCTTAAGACATGAATTGTAATTATACAACCCTGAAAGTCATAAATTGAAAGGGGAGGGAACAGGTACATAATACTGAATTGCGTGTAGATGGTCAAATTGTTACTTCAGCCTCCCCTACATCCAATATCCCTGCTTCAGCTAAAATTATTTTTTTTTATTCTTCTTTGTGCTACAGCCTGATTTGAACATCCACCTCAGCTATTTGCACGCATTTTCTAATTCATCATCATACCCATGTGCTGAAGTTACAGGCCTCAGAGAACATAAATTCTACCAAATAGAATTTAACAGTACACTTGGTGTGGATTAGCAAGGCAGGCTAGAAGACATGCTTATATGCATTTGTACCTTGTTTTCTGTTAATTTCAAACTCTAGACACAGACAAAAGAAATTTTCCAAGTACCACTTTCAGTGATATTTAGTCAGTTTATTCGAAATCCTAAAGAAGACATGGTTCTGAATACTGCATGAAAACACATAATGGTTAAGGTAAAGTCCCTGTACTTAACTACTCGTAATTAAGCGCTGTGCCATGAAGGCGAACCCTTGAATCCAATTCGAATGGATGCTGGGTGGGCCCCAACACCATCATACAAAACAAAGCAGGATTTGAGGTTATTGCAGTGGTAGTTATGAATAGTCCTATATTCTGGGACACAACGCCATATAGAACACTAAAAGTTAGCTGTCGTTTCAGAATAGCGTCCATTTCCAAGGTCAAAAAATTAGCCAAGCAAGAAACCAGCATGAAGCAGGTGGCAAGCAGAGATTGTGATGGATGTCCCTGTGCTTAACTCATTAAGCACTATAACATAAAGACACTGGGGGAGTCAATGTACATCCGCATATTCCTGACCTTGACACTAGTTGGAGGGGAGTCGTCAGCTTCATGCCCGGGGGGGGGGGGAAACCCATTGGATGGACCCCACAGCTGGTCTCAATGACATAGGGAGAAAACTCTTGCCCTTACAGGGACTCAAGCTTCAACCACTCAACCATCCAGCCCATAGCCAATCACTGTAGTGACTGTGCCATGTTCCTCCAAAATGTCGGCTGCCTTTTTAATAGACTACATGCTGTTACACAGGGTAATTCATAAGTCCCTCCGGGATTTCCGAAATCTGTGTTACAGTAGCAGCGATGGTCACGAAGGGGGGAGCATGTCAACAGGGGGAGAGGTACTCCAAGTTTGTGTCCTACCTTACAAATGCTCGATATATCCAAACTTGGTGACGTGGCAGACGTCAATCCTGTAATCAAGTTCCTGCCACATACGTTACATCTCGCTGTCGATAGCAGCAACTGCCTCCACGATCCTTCGTCGCAGCTGTGGTAAATCATTTGGCATAGGAGAGCATGTACATACGATCCTTGATGTAACCCCACAAGAAAAAATCACAGGAGGTTAGGTCAGCTGACCGTGGAGGCGAGGTACGAGGAGTCATCATTGCCAGAAGCGCGCCCAATCCAACGACCGGGAAGATTAGCATTGAGGCGAGTAGGGTCGTAAAATGGAAGCATTTGCGCAGAATTTGACTGAGGCATCTACAATTCCCGGCTCGCACGATGTTTTGACTTCTGAGGGCTCCTGACAAAAGTTTCTCACACACTCTCGATAGTCTCGGTCGGCCTGTTCGTTTCGCATCGTACAGGCAAAATATGTTGGAATTTCTTGTACTACTCACGAATTGTTTTGTCTGTAGGTGGTTCTGTGTGATACTTATTCCAAGACTTCCATTGTACATGACATAGAACGCTTTCTTATCCCCTGTCCTCGCCATGTTTCGTCACGACTGCCCCTTAGTGGTGAAACCTGAAAGTACGTCATGGCGCCTAATACCCAAACAAACAAGGAGAAATTCTCTACCTACTGATATGCTCCTTTCTTCTGCGTCTATATTGGTTGTTGCGCTGTCCAGATCAGAAATTTTGGAGGGATTTATGAATTATTCTGTATATAGGAAGGCAGGACCCTTTAAAGTGATCAATAGGTCAACATCAGTGAAAGCACTTGAGTCCTCTGCATTCTGGAGGTCTGTTTGCAGCTGAAGAAACTGCTAATGCAGAAAAAAATACAAATTAGGAAACTCCATCCAGGCAGCTGGAGTGAACAGAATGTTTGTAATGTTCTGAAAACAGCCAAATATTTTGTTCAAAAAGCATGAAAAGTAGGTACATAACACAGCTTCCCATGTTTATTCTGTTTTTTCATGTTAACGATGGTGTCAGGAAGGCAAAGCAGGAATTGTCTAATACCTGGGTGCTCAAAATAAAATATTCACAACAGAAATGACTAAAAACATTTATTAAAATTAATAATTGAATGAACATAACATAGCTACATACAATAATGCCAACATGGCTCTACATCATCATCAAAACACAATTCATAACAAAATTTAAGCTGAATTCTCTACTGCTGATTTCAAGCGTTTAAAATCACCATTTTATGCACTGCAAAGATGCCTAAAAATATACAATATTTTGTAACATTTGTCCCTTAATTTTTGGATTTTAAAATGCATCAAACATTGTGTTGTGTTACCACATGCACCTACCTTATTCATGTGATATAGAACTCACATTAGTCGACAGAGCTCCCTGGCTTTAAACTGCTTGAAGTATAACAATATCAGATAAAGGGTCATAATTATGAAGCTTTTTAATGTGTAATTTTTTCCCATTTTTCAATTAAGTTACTTAACTTAGTTCCAATATTTTCTTTGGCACTTCATATTCAAACACCTAAACTCCCTCACAGCGAGACCATGTCTCACTCCCATATAAAATTTTGACACTATCCCAAACAGTGACAATTTTGGTCCCAATGGTTACCTCTAGCAATGAATAAAAAACTGATATGTCTAGTACACTCCAACAGCTCATATTTATATAAGTGTGGGATCCTCCCACACTGAAACAAGCGCTTGCCAATAAGTGCAGACCATGACAGCTCCAATGCCCACTGCGTTGGGAGCCACTAGTAACAGCGTATAAAGACGCGGACCTCCGACACACTAGTCAGTCGCAGCTTGGCTCACACTGAGACAGCTTATCTGGAGCGCAGACAGCAACAGCGAGTCTCCTAGAAGCAACGCCATCAGCCAATTCAAGGAAGAGGGGCATGGTCAGTCACCTGTCTGCTGACACAAGGAAAGACCGGCCTGCTTGCAGTCAGCTGGGTGCTGACACACGGAAGACCAATGAGCCAGCCCACTGCAGCAGGAGTTTCACCAACATTCATGGGGTGCCCTGCCTTAGAGTTACAGCCCTTTTCAGGGCCCAGAACACTTCACTAGTTACAGCACACTCTGCCTGGTCATCTGTATACTCTTCTAACAACAATAAATACTGTCATAGAAATTTACATGGTTCTCTCTCCAAGTACCAAGGTTGACATCCCAAACCAGTTTTCCTGAGAATCAACTGAATGACTCAAAAGTTATGGGGGCAGGAGAATGCACGCACATTATCATGATGGTCAATTAAATGGCAATGAGTGTAGAAAGAAGTATACACAATTTTCAAGTGCAGTCTTTGTTATTTTGGATACCAAATTTGTTATGAATACAAATCAATTCTTGCAAAGTAAATCACATTGCGCTGAGCCAGAAATCACCATCCTTGTATTTCACTGAACTTCAGCCTACTGAAAAACATTCACAATATAAATTACAAATAATCCATAGAATACTTAAACATTTATCAGAAGCCAGTCAAATTGTAGCATAAGGTTTGCTTAGGACAAAAACAAACAAATAAAACTGCAGCAGCAATGGCTTACTGCAGTGCTGGTACTTACAAATTCATACGCTTGGTCTGGCAAAAAGCCTTTAAGCCCCAAACTGGAAGACAATTCTGATAAGATATAAAGAGCATATTTGCAATATTAGACTAAATGGGGATGATTCAAATTTATAATGCATATTCAATAACAAACACTCCTAGAAATGTGGTAAAATCTTCTTGGATGATCACCCGTGTCAATGTTGAGTTAAAAACAAACATTTCAGACCTGTCCCTCTTCTTTGATACAATGGTTTTCAACTTAACACTGACAGAGCTGATCATCCAAGGTGATTTTAGCACATTTGCTGTGAAAGCATCAAATCTTACTTCCATAGATCCACTGAACAGTGACAAAAACTGACAAAGCTAAAAAAGGGAAATCTCATCAATATTAAAGGCAGCTTACAAACACCACCTTCATAATATTGTGATGTATTTGCGCTATGCAGGACACCCCCTCTCCCGCCAGTGGTGATGTAACACCTTCGGAGAGTTGCTGCTGCTACGATAACAATCCAGTCAACATCCCGCCCCCTCCTGCGGTGACATTACCAAGGGACGCTGCAGTTGCTACAGAGCACTAAACAACTCTCAACAGTGTTGCTAGGCAACCTGTAAACACGATGTTAAGCAACAGTGGTACTTATCACGTAACTGTTTTCTGTGTTGTCCGTGCCGAGGCTAAATAAGGAGCAGCGAACACTATTCAGGAGTAGTGAGTCATTAGTTAGTGAGTAGTGAGGAACCAGACAGTTAAAATGTATCAGCCACCGAAGATAGTTGAATTGGAACAGTCACCGAGTTCAGTTGTAGTGGAAAGAAGAATATTGATAGTGTGAGAAGTTATTGAGTGTGTGTAATACAGTGACACTGGTATAGCTCCCGTATTGTACTGCGAATATGTGTAGACTACTGAGGACAGTGTGAAGAGATTTGTGTGTAGGGTTTGTAAATTGTGTAAACCTGCAACAGTGTTATAATTAGTTGTAGCCAAGACTGGTAGGTTGTTAAATAAACCAATTAACAATCTGAACAGTGTCATCAGCAGCAAAACATATGTGTGACAAACAGAAGTGCAAAGGTAAACGCTCTTATATGACCTATATAGTACACACAGATGGATACAGTGTTGGTAATACTACTCTGTCCCCAAAAATAGGAAATTTATAAATAACCACTGGTTTAGCAGTCCGCTTTCAACAGGAGATAACATACAGCCTAATAAGTTGCATACTCTACAGGTAAGGGTTCTCACCATTAAATTTCCTCCAAAAATGCTTACCTTTTAACCTTTAAACACTTTTTTAAGTTTCACAACTTTCTATAAATACACACCTACAATTTGTATTTGTGTCCTATTCTTTAGATAAACACTGGCCCTCTCACCAACAATGAATCAAATGACTACTAACTCCCTCTTTTTTAAATTATCACCATAAATTTCAACATTATACTGGAACATCAAGACTTAAATGGAATTTAGTTTGTAACATGATGTCACTTCACTTATGGAACTAGCTTTTTTAACAGTTTATCTTATATATCATATTGTTAAGTAACCTTCAGCAAGATTTTACCAATTTATTTATTGAAAGGATACATCTGAAACATGATATTTAAGTGTCAAAACATGTCAGGGGACTATAAATAAATAATACCTTGTGTCATAATTTGACAGTCTGCTGATAAGTTTTAAAATCTCCCCGACAATTTTCAGTGTAGATAATCAACAAAAAAGTCACTGAAATTCTGGAGATACAGCTAATTTTACAGGCTTTGTGCAAAAAAAAAAGGGGGGGGGGCTAATGAAAGCCTAATCCAACAATTTCAAAGCCAACAGGTGGACATGCTTTTATACCAGTTTAATATAATTCATACCCCCCCCCCACCTCTCTTTTCTATAAGACCCATGGTCATTCTTATCCTCTAACCTCTTCTTTTTTTAACTCTATCTTGGTTTGTCACCAAAATTCAGTACAGATTGCAAATTCACTTTGCACTTCATCTACATCTCCAGCTGATCATAGAAACCTTTATTTGGCTATAACATGCCTTCGTGGGAGCTATCCATATTGAACCAAAATTACTGCATAAGGAAATAAGGCTAAAACTCTTGTCCCTTGGAAGATACAATTAATTTATCCTCATTCATAATGAGAAACTCAAAGGTTATCATACCATTAATTGAGATCTTTAAGAGTATTTACTGTGCTTTGGTTTCCTACTTTTAGGCATATCAGATGGATACCTGGCTTCCCTCTGTTACAAACGTAGATACAGAACCTTCTCATATCAGCCATTACTAGAAACGTGACAACTGGTCTACTTTGTTGTGACCATAATCCACTTCTTCAGCGCTTGGACAAGGACTTCACTTTCCCCTTCACACCTGATTCTCTGAGGAATGTTTGATGCAGAACCTTGTGCAATCTGTTGGCCTTCTGAGGGCCCAGACCAGGGCAGAGTCCAAGTGTCTCTGGAGTAGCTTTTATGATTTTCTCAAGTGAACCAAATGTTCTAAGAAGAACTGTTGCATCCGTACGGTTGATGGAACGAACAGTTGTTAATGCACTCACCAGCTGCAATGAATAATTAGCAATCATTACAGATTATCCATCAGCCAGATGTATTTGCTTCAGATCTAGGAAGTCTTATACCATGCAGACACACACAAATAGAATATATGGTTCTTGACTCTTTACTATAAAAACAGCTTTAACAAATGTTTCTATTAAGAACACCAGTGGAAGAGGGGAGATAAAAGTTTTACCTTTTCTGAGTCATACTTCCAGGGACAGTTTGTCTAATTTTTAAGTAAAGTATTAGCTGCAATATGTATCAGAAAATCTGTTACAGGTGGGCCAAGCATATTTAACAATAAAACATTCTCTCAAGGTTAACATCATATGCATGTGAAATTACTGGGTACCTATAACAAGAGATTTTGACACACTAGACTACTAATCAGATATTCTACATTCATCAGATGTTGGAGAAAAACTGGAAGTAAACAGGACTCTATGGCAGCTACTTACACAAGTCAGGCCAGTCTGATTCATTATAAGAGAAATATTATGCAATATTCATGTGAATATGCATAAACCTATTCACACCAAATGAAACTGTAATTAGGTCTACAGACGTAAATATTCGTCTGATGCATACCGTACTCACAATGTTCTGAGAGAAGATGTTTTATTGCAGTTACATTCAATGTTGCTTTAGAATACAACATTACTAAGCCTAAACGGGGGCTGATTGGAATCAAATGAAAGATCTGTTTTGGTCATGCCGATAATGTTAATTTTGTGGGCAAAAACATAAATACTGTACCATTGAGAAAAATTAAGACATTCTAACACAATACAAAGGTAGGCAATAAATATTTCAAAGCTGTGGACAGGTTCAGACATTTGGGGACGAAAGTAACAAATCACAGTGCCATTCACAAAGTAATTAAGATCAGACTATATCCTGCAAATGCTTGTTAACACTCAGTTCAGAGTATTTTGCTTTCCCACAAACTGAAAATGCAAGAATTAAAATATACAATACTATAACTGTACTTGATGCTTTGTTAGGGGGTGTGAATCGTAAGTATCTTACCTGAAATGAAGAATACAAATTCAAGGTGCTTGAAAACAGGGTGCTGAGAATATTTTGATCTAAGAGAGGACATAGGAGGAGACTGGAGAATAGTCATAATAATGGATTTCATAATTTGTTTGCAAAATAGTACAAAGGGATCAAATCAAGGGGAAGATGGGCTAGGTATGTAACACACATGGGGAAGAGAAGAAATGCATACAGAACTGCAAGTTGAAAACCTAAAAAAGGGAACGTTTAGGAGACCTGTGTATAGATGGAAGAGTAATATTAAAATTGATCTTAAACAAACATCTTGTGAGGATGTGGATTGGATTCATCTTACACAGAAGAGGATCCAGTTGTAGGATCTTCAAATATGGTAATGAACATTCATGTTTTACAAAATGCAAGGAATTTCATGACTGTCCTAGCCAATGCTAGCTTCTCAAGAAGATATGTGGTCCATAATATTCATGAGTACCTTCTGATATGGACTACCTTCTTGTTTTTCCATTATCATGTCTGGTGGCTTATTTTCAAAAATTTTGTATGTTTCTATGATGCGTCCTGCTTCATCAGCACTCCAAGCTAACATCAACGTTACATCCGTTAAAATGCTGATTCTTGTTAGGTTCTTGATGGCATGGTGGGGATCTTTTGTGTCTACCTAGGAAGAGATGCAAACTTCTATCAAATACAGCACATTTTTTGTCACTTAATGTTCAACTGTAATTATCCTAAGTCAATAATTTCAATGTCATATTTTATCTATTTTCCTCACTTCAGTGTTCAAATCCAGTGATCCCGAGAGATACCTTAACTGGAGTTTCACATCTGCAAAATTTATTTGCCTTTTTGGTATATATAAGAATGTCTGGTGTCTAATGTAAAAAGGGCTAAGTAATGCACATACACAGTGTGTCCAGGTTCTATTAGGATTGTGTTCATTAAAAATACAAGACACTTACTAAATTTTCAAGAAGCAATATCAAAAGATGAACAACATTAACAGTCAAAGGACTTGGATGGTTTTGACCTAAAGAGCTTGATATTCACAGAATTTCTAAATTTTTTAGAAGAAGAAAAAGATTGTTTGGTCATTTGGCAGTCATGATATCATTATTTGAATTGAATGAAAAAGTGTGTAGCAACTGTGAGGGGGCAGGGGGAAACCAGAATGAGAACTTCAATTTGGAATACTATGATGATGGTAATTCCTACAGAAACGATTATACAACAGTCATGTCAGGTAACATGGTCACAACTTGAATATAGAGGAGAGGAAGAAGAGCATTACATATCTGCTACCAAGACATACCTGTACTAGGAGCACCCGCAATTCATACTGCTTTCCAAGCTGCTTCAATCGCTCATTTATGTAGTCAGGATTGAGATTATGGTATCGAAGGCTGAGGAACAAAGCACATGTGGTTCTCCCCATAACATAGTCTGGAACAATCTCTTCATATTCCCAAGGCACATTTAAGATTGACTTCAGCAAAGGGTTCCCTCTCTGAAAATACAAATAGTGTAAATTACTGAAGTCAAGAAGAGGGAAGCTTCTATGTATTTACTGAAGTTCAAATAGAGTTTCTCCTGCCTGTTTCTATGCATATGAAACTTCTCCATTCCAAGGGAAGAACACAGAATTAAAAAATTGAACAGCCAGTTGGTTCTATTACTATGCTTCATCTTCGTACTCCAAAGATCTAATAGCACAGCAACAGATTACTAGCCACTTAAAATCTTCTAACCACAGTCTTGCCATATGCATCATACAATCATTATATTCACTACACATTGCCATTAATGTTCCTGGGAGGACTGTGGTCTAGTGGTCAGAGTTCCTGGCTACAGATCCAGAGGTCCCGGGCTCAATTCCTGGCGCTATCAGATTTTTTCTGAGAAGCAGTGGGTCTGGAAAGGGGTCCACTCAGCCTTGTGAGGATAATTGGGGAGCTATTTCAAGGAAACAGTGGCTCCAGTCTAGAAAACCGAAATTAACCGCCGTGGGGATTCATTGCACTGACCACACGACACCCTATGTCCACTAAAGTTGGCACTAACTTCGCCGACAAGTGGCAGTTGATCAGTCGGTATAGTTAGCTTGCAGATTAAAACCACAGAGTTTGTTTCTTGTTTGTTTGGGAGGACTGAGCAAATTTCTGCAAGCCCAGCTTGCACAATTACATACATTTCCTTCCCTTTCTAAATGTTTATGTACATTAAACTTGATATGATCAGATAAATTGTAAGGGCTATGATGATAGTCAAGTACCATAATCTGTGACAGCACATAAAAATCACGAGACATACACATGTCACAACTGTCATACAGGGCAGTGCATCAAATGATACCCAATTTAAACTCTGCGCAGTTGCTGTAATCATAACACAGTGGTCCAAATTTACATATGTACATAATGACTAAAATGTGGAGATTTGCTCTTAATGCAATGCAGATACAATATAGTTGAAGTTGTGCCATAAAATTTCCAAAAGATGAATGTGTACACTCCTGAATGCATGGCAGCACATTCTCCATGTCAACTGCCTTATGCATCAACAAATTCTTACTTTATGAATCTCCAAAGAAAGAAACTACACGGATTAATGTCCAGGCTGCTGCATGGCCAGATTCTCCCCCAAGTATGGTGATCAGATACTGATCCAAAATCGCACAGTGACCAAAGACATCATGAAGGAAGTCCTAGGTAATGTTTGTCATGTGTATCATGCAGCAGTTCTGGATGTTTACCAGCAAACCAGTTGCAACTTGCAGCATAAGGGTACTTCTGTTCAAAAACCAGGCTTTCTGAGAAGCCCACCACACCCCAAAATGAAAAAAAAAAATGTGCTGAAACAAGTCTCTTCACTTCCACAAGAAACAATACAGTTTTCACTTTCTGGCAGAGAGTCAATCCTTTCTTTGCTGCCATCTCTGTAACTGACACTATGTGCCCTCTTGGTAGCAAAAAGATAATCACATTAACCCTAGTGAAATCTCCATAAAACACACCATCATCTGCACAATTCAAACTTCCCCCATAATAAATTTGCGGTTTCACAGTCAAAATAAATTGTATACCATCCTGTAGTTAGAATTTGAGCAATTAATCTGCATTATCTGCTTCTCCTCTAGAAAGGAGTTAAACATCTTACTTCACATCTCCAACATCTGGGACTCTTGGATGAAAATATGACTGCTCAAATTGTCATGGGGCATGAAACTTCTCATCACAATGCCTAACAGAAGAGAGGAAAAAAGATTATGTACATACGAGCATATATCTTTCATGATTTATTTTTATTTTTGTAGCATACTGTGCTTCAAGTAAAAAAAAAAATACCTGTCGTGGACTGACTAGTATTGGATTAGACTTGGTGCCACTGGGTCTAACTGCCTTCGATGTGCTACTGGTGGTAGCTTTACTACTGGAAGCTTCATCAGGTTTCTTGTAAAATTCAGAATTTTTAAGGTCGCCAAATGCCTCTGAAACAGGAACAAGTTTAACATGCTCGTACATAATAAAAAATTATAACAGGATACTATGGATTAAATAAATTACAATATGGTTCCACATCTAACATCCATTCTTTTAAGTCAAATTACTAGATTTGAAAACCTAACCTTATCTTTCGCTATCGCTCTAACACATTTCTTCGTTCCAGAAACTATTCCAACAACTTACAACTGTGGACAACATACCAGCAAACGATGTCGGCTTTCTTGCATGTTCCTTACTGTTTTCATCACATTCTTCGAGAACAGGATCATCCTCGAACTCCAACATGTTTCAAATAGTAGTAATATAACCTGTACTTTCCCAAAATATATCTTCTTGCTCTTTCCTTCCTTCACTTAGAACAAGTGCCTCTTCACAACACAAAAAGGTTTCTGTAGCAGACTTCAACCAACTCATGATGGAAAATATTGCCCTCCCCCATTTTCTACATCATTACATTTAAAAACCATACAAACTTCCTTCCCCTACATAAATGTACATGACGTAGAGCCTTGCGAGCTTAGCAATTCAATCTTATTGGCTGGCTACTAAGCCACCATGACGACATAAATGCATCCATGCTGGCATCTATTTCTCTCTCTCTGGATATTCCTCAACAGCATCAGCTGTCACTGCCAAGTGCTCGGTCGGTAACAAAGATAGTAACTATGAAGAAAGCAGTTTTCTGGGATTTGGCACCGTGTATATGTGGTGTTAACCGACGTTTCGGAGGAACGTATCGCCTCCATCTTCAGGGTAGAAGAAAAATATATGAAATCTGCAAGCNAGCCTTTGCGTACTACGGCCCGCGAATCCGGAGCTCAGAAGACAGCAAAGAATAATTTTGTCGCCTTGAGTTTTTGTATTGCAAAGGCTCTTATTCCGTTTTTTGAAATAGTTTTAACTAACGTCACTTCGCTCACACTTATTTGGAGAAAGTTTCTCAGCAGTGTCCGTTAAAGATGAACAATTCGTCAACATCAAAATATCATCCCTTTAATAAAATGCACTGAAGCGTTATGAACCATAGCATACAAAAAACATATATACAAATGCTGAAGTTGGGCAAAACTTGAGTGAAAAGTCTTTCCCATCAGAGATATTTGAATTTAAATTTGTAACGTCTGTTCACAACTTACACCTGAAAGCTACATAGCACATAGCTTTTCAGTTATTAATAACTGCACCAGTATGATGAATCTAATGAATTTAAGATTCACTCTGTTAAGAAGATTAATATTGAATTTAATAACATACTGGCATCAAAACAACAAAATAATTGCAGAATTACGAGGAACCTTCACGTAATTTAAAGATTATATATGGGGTTTCAATTGGTGATTGGATTTATTGAACTCTTTCAGAACGTACCTAGAAATAAATACAGAGAAAGGCTAATTCACACACTCTGCAGTTTACTACAGCATGTACGAAGACTTCTCAGCCTGCTGCATCATCACTGGTTGTTCCCTGGTGACGGCTTCAATGCAGCAACTTTCTCAGCTTAAATGTTCACGTCCTTACTGAAGGGTTGCGGTTCGTGATGTTTTTCCATTCTGAGTGTTGTCCAGTCTCTTCTTCCCCCAGAATGGGCCTTATATCTTTGTCGTTCAGTTGTTTCCTTCTTGCAGTGGTTGGATCCCAGTTGGCTGCAGCTACAGCAGCAATAGCACTTACCTGCTCGATGTCTGCCCATTCCTTGACTTAGTAGCAGTGGGTCCACCCTTTTTGGCATGTTCATCACAGAAGGGCATCGGCATTGTAGGCAGTGAATCCAGCAGCCGGTTTGTCCCTCCAAGTTCTTACAGCTCATGAGCCAGGTTAATGCAGCAAACTGCTTTGGGCGAAACTTGAAAAGAGCTGTAGTGTGAGAGACCATTATACCCTACTGCCAGCTTAAAATGTTTTATGATATGCACTGTCAGCACTTTCTGCAAACAGAACGGAAAGGACAGGACAGGATTACAATATATTATTACATACTATGGTACCAAGTGCTTGGGGTGCAGTTGCGGGCTGCCTCTGTAGAGAGCACTTACGAGAAAGAGCAAAAACACTTTACTTCCATATTATTCACATTTCAGGAAACATATGAAGAACAATTCCTTAGAATGGCTAAAATGACAACAAATACCCCTACAAGTTAAAAAATTTACTGAAAATATCCAAAAACTGAAAAAATGACCAAAAAATTACTAGCAAATTTATTTTTCTGTAGCCAGCAGCTCATCTCCAGGATTTATAGTATATTTAAGGGCATCACACAGGATACAAGGAAAAAAGATGTCATCAAAATCCAGGCCCTGATAATTGATAATAAATAACATTCTGGATTACAACAGTACACAGCTCTGCCTACATATTTTAATATGATAAGGAAATGAACCATATCATGACTGAAGAATGGGTACCTCATCTAGCTTTATTACAAGTTTAATGTTGTCCTGTATGTGTTTGTGGTCCGCAGCCACAACATTAAAGAACCCTCTTCTCGAGAACGACAAGGCAGCACACATTTGGCCCCCCGTCAAGAGAAATAATAAAGAGGGATGACACGAACCAGCTTGGTTTACGAATTCCAATAGAATTGTAACTAACTAACTATAAATATTTTAAAGTATTGGAACAGCCGCTGTAGTTGTAAAGACTTTAGATTTTACAGCCAATTATATATTATTTATATTGTATGAATATATTTTCACTTTCAGAACATATACTGTAATAGTGGCTTCTAACAGTATTGATGTAAAGGTGTCCCTCTGAAGATGGTCTCTGAAAACCGAAACATGTAAGGGCATAAATAATTGAAATAAGAAAATCTTAACCAGTCACATTGGACAGAACTATTTAACTTTTTCATAATATTAGTGTGACGGACCAGAATGAAACAAATCAAATTCATTAATTTATTTGTTTTGAAATTTGTGGGGGGGGGAGACCTATGTTATACTGGAATATGGAAATGGTTACAACTGCAGACATATCTGCCTGTACATTCAAGTCATATTCTGAACTAGGCTCTTTCTGGTGCATATGTTACATTTACACAGATTAATTACATGCAATAAGAACTGGAAAATATCAGAAAGTACAAAATGTGTGACAAAATGGAGATAAAATACAGAAAATGTCGTAAAAGAGAATGGGCTATAAAACTGGCAAGGTGTTTTCATAGGAAGCATAAAACCTGGATTAACTCCTGGCTGACAAGGTTCCACTCAAACTGAAATAATACTTGTCTGTCAGATTCATGCTTCACAGTGCAATCCTTCTATGTCCACATATTAACTTTATATATGTTTACTTTCATTAACCATGGACCTCTCCTCAACTTCCAGGTTTTGTCATCCACCTTCCATTTGTGAAAATTTATTGACTAAAAAAAAACTGAATGATCATGCATGGAAGGCCACCTTCTTAAAGACATGCTCTTTAACAATAACAGAACAACATTATCTAACTTCTTGCAATTTTAGCAGCATAATGTGGGTAGTACTTATTAAAGTGACTCAACCAGGTTCAGAAGTTAAAACCAAAACACTACCTCAGGTTACAATTAATCATAATGGAATCAATTTGTGGCAACATCCCACATACTTACATGCTGTTTTGCCAGTTTAACAGACAACACTCACTCCTATGTCATTATCACATTGCGCTCATATTTATACAGCACTAGATGTCCAACCCATTTGCAAATCATCATGTGCGCTAACCAATCACATTGCTGCCAACGTCTGTATTTATACAGCACTCGCTGTCCAGTCCACCTGTGCTTCATCGCACGCGCTAGCCAATCAGCGCTCACAATCGCAATTGCAACCATCAAGCATGGTATAAAAGGCGGAGCCCAAAGCTTGCAATCGTCAGTGATCACATTCAGTTCAGAGCTATCGGTCATCATAGTCATCAGCTCTTCACTGCTACCAGACAGCTAACATAGCTGCCACAGCTCTCCAGCAACCTCGCTCTGCGACGAGGCAGGTAACGTAGCTGCCGCAGCTCTCCAGCAACCTCACTCTATGACAAGGCAACTGATGTGGTTGCTGTAAGTCTCCAGTGACCACGCTCTGTGACCAGGCAACTAACGCAGCTGCCGCAACTCCAGCAATCAACCACAGGCAGCTCTTTCTACCAAGGACTGCTTACACAACATTCATTCTGATCTACAGGCTTAACCAATCAGTCCCAGACATTCATAAACATTGATGTCACTCAGTAATAAAATCCTAGGATTATGTCTGAGCAGTAGTGAAAATAAAACTGTGTTCAAATTAACCAGAGATTAACAAGATCCCATTGGTTATTAAGGGCAAATGTTAGGTTACTAACAGCATTGCACAACGACCTTCTGGAACAGCCAATTCTGCTACCCAGACTGTGTGAAGAACAAGTCATCAGGAGGTGAACATGCTTACAGCAATAAGCAGATGGGCACACAGCCCATCATCTGCAATGCTGCAGATACTGTTTATCTTTCGTGGCTTTATGACTGCACTTGCAAAAGACTGATATAATTAACAGTATCAGTCATCTCTGCATTTCTGTTCACACAAGACAGTCACGCATGTTTCATGTCCTCACTGTCAGAACTGAACTGAAATGGTGAAATATACACTTGAACAGCAAGTTTTATGCATGATACATTAAACAGGAATAATAAAAATAGCATAAACTAAGGTTTTGATATAAGTATCCTGGTGCTCGAATCCAGCTTCATCAACAAATTTCAAATTGGTGATGTAAGCGCATTCAACTGGAGCCACATTAGAACATTCCCCTTGTTAACCCTCGACATTGTTAGCTCAGTGCACACAGATTTCAACTGCAGCAGGATAGACAGCAATCAGAAAGTTATGTCTATTGTATAAAATCAGACAAGTTTAAGCATATGAAGATGGCATAAGAACAGAATATTTTGTCACTTCTTTTGTGGGCAGTACACAACTGACTCCAAGCCCCAAAACTTACATGTTATATTGATGGTGGGCAACAGAAAGAAATTCAAAAGCCAATGTGTGTACTTGACTATACAAAGCATACGGGTGGTTTCGATGGCAGTGATCATTACTGCACAACATATTCTTTCATTCAGAAATCTCTTACATGGTCGAGAAAACTCTTTTTCCTGGTGCATGGAAGTTTGCACTATAAATTCATACATTTTGTACTGCAGTCAGAAAGAACAGATGGGCATGAAACCAATGTCATATGTCAGGTACCGATTAGCGCTTGCTGAAAATCTAGTAGGCGATGTGTGCGACCCAAGGAGGAGGTCATATCCCGGAATAGCAAACAAAGAAGAGTGACTAAATATAGCAAATCACTTTCTATACCATTATGACACAAAGAAACTGAGAGACTGCATTGGGTGCAGCAATCAGGTCAAGCGAGCCAGAAAAGAAATGTTTTTATTGTTTGCACCCTGTTGCATAAGTACAATAATATAAATTCAGCAGTTGATGGCTGAATTTGTATTATTAGTTACAAAAATTTATTTCAACTGTTAAGACCTGTACAAATAAACCGATCATGTGTCATGGGGAATGTTTCAAAGGATATCACACTCGTGAGAACTTCAAATGATTTTAATGTAGGTCCCAGAGCGTTTTGGGTTTTACTGTTTGTGTACACAGAAGAGTAAGTGACAGTTATAAGAAGGAAGGAATATGCATATACTTTGTACAAGAGAACAGCACACATTTGGTACCCGTGAAGGATCGCTACTTCTCTCCACAAACCTGTCATACACCCCTTCAAAGCAGACAATCTGTCTCTTGTATTGTACTGGTCAGTACACTTTTTGCTTTCTTCACTTCACGCCTTTGTAGCTCCAAATTTTGGGCCAAAACAGTTCAGTTAGTGGCTCTCCAGGCATTTAAATCACCTACACGCCCTGGCTGCAGAAATTTCTAATAATGTGATGACTGGAAAGGGTTCATGTTTTAAATTAGGTGTTTGAAGATACAATGATAAGTTGCAGATTGTGGCCTGCAGACTTCTATCTGTGCAGAAACCTAAAAAATTAAGTTTATTCAAATAGTCTGCACATAATGAATGAACTCATGCAAAACATCTGTGAAACAATCATACCTAGTGAGGTCAGTGAATTCTTACTAATGTCAATCTCTGTAAGAGACCTGAAGTTTGTTTAAGAGAAGAATGAAGACATTTGAACATTTATTGTGATAACTGAATTTTTCTGAACAATATTTTTACTTCAATATATTCATATCTGTGTTCATAATGCGTGGCATATTAGTTGCCTACTACGTTTTCTCAAGAGATGACATGGTTCGGCAAACAAGCTGACGATAATAGTTCTTCATAAAGGGCTGTAAGTTTTCAGCACTTTGCAAGGTTAGCTATGTTTTATATGCACAGAATTTACAACCTGTATAATCATCAGCATCCATAACTCATGATAAACATGGTAATTAGCACCGAATGACAATCTTCTTCACTTTACTACTATATAATGAGAAACTGGAGCAATAAAACTTGAATATAAAAGAATTTCACCACACAATAGATACCTTACTGAAATACAAATATACTACAAAGCACTCTGACAACAGTTATGAATGTAGCTCTCGTGGTAATTTAGTGCTTCCATTTATGAAGCTCAGACATCTCATTGGTATCCAGGCTGCGACGGAGGTCGACTGTAGGAAGCACCCTTGCTGTAGGGATTACCAGTAGTGGGGGGTTGTGACTGCTGTGTAGTAGGAAAACGCGGAGGTGGGAAGCCACTCTGTTGAGGGTTATAGTCTTGAGGGTAGCTCTGTGGTTGAGTTGGCTGAGATGGGTTGCTTGGTCGGTAACCAGCAGGTGATGTGCCACCCTTCTGAGGACCAGGAGGATAACTGAAAAAATTGAACATTAATATCTCATATCGAATGATGCCATGCCTGAAAGTGAGAACAGCCTAGCACATTACTTTTCAGAGTTTCAGGAAAAAGTAGGGCTTATGACTTTCAGAATTAACACCATCAAACCTAATTTCATCTTCCTGAGTAGGATGTTTTCATGTAACATACAAATGTCCTACACTAACTCCATGGAATTGAGCCCTTCTTGAGAAACCGCCAATTGTGCAGCCACTCAAGAATTTCTCAACATTTAATGGAACCCACAGGTTCACCACTGTGTCCACAAGAGCCCTCCTTCAGTCTGTATCCTAAAGCACATCAATCTAGTCAATATCACCCCTCCCTATTTCTCTCTCTAAGATCCATTTTAATATTATCCTTCCACCCACATCTATGTCTTCCTAGTGGTCTCTTTCTTTCTGGTTTTCCAAACAATATCCTATATGCAAATCTCTTCTCCTGATTCGTGCCACATGCCCTACCTATCACATTCTCCTTTACTTTATCATTCTACGTATATTTATATTTGGAGAAGTGTATAAGTTATGAAGCTCCTCATTAGTTTTCTCCAACCTCCCATCACTTCATCTCTCTTCTGTCTAAATATTCTCCTCAAACACCCTCAGTCTATGTACCTCCCGTAACGTCACAGACCAAGTTTCACACCTATACGGAATCACATGAAAAATTAGAGTTTTGCATATTGTAATTCTTATGCTTTCAGACAGCAGACGAGAAGATAAAAATGTTCTGGACTGAATGGTAGTGAGCAATACCCAAATTCAATCCCCTCTTAACTTTGTCCTGAATCAGGTTTTGATTTGTTATAATTGTTTCCAAATATCTGAACTGTGTCATATTTTCAAAACATCTATTACCTATCTTTATGTCATGATTTTGATCTGCATTCTGGTGACAAGACAACACACACCTAGTTTCCTCTATTTACTTCTAGAAGAATCTCCTTACAAGGGTCAATTAAATTTGTGTTTTTCTTTGTGATATCTATATTATCACCCAGTAGATCCACATCATCAGCACAGATCAACAGCTCATGTGGCCTGTTCAGTCTCACCTCGTTTTCCTGGACCTTTCTAATGGCATATTCTAGAGCAAAGTTTAAAGGCAATGGTGATAAAGCATCTCCCTGTTTTAGACCACTTATGATAGGATATCTATCAGACAAATGTTTACATATACAACCTTTGCTATAGGTTATAAAAGTCATACAATAAGAGTTAAATAGAATCTAAGTTTTTATATTTAGCTTCCAAAATTTGCAACCTACAGTGCTTTAACACCACTACCTTTATCCTTCCCAGACTTCAGCTCAGCTGGCACATTAGAGATTCTAGCGAAACAGAACTTTATATTTATTCCTTTTCTGGGTTGGTGGTTAATACTGATATAGATCTTGCAACATAATTTTTAACAAGCATGCTGTAAGTTTCAGGAAATTAAAGTTTCATACAATTATAATGTTACTGCAAGAAAGTGAAGCATCTGTTAAGTGAGATGCAATCTGACAGTATAAGGCATGCAAGTTACCCTTGTTGTACTGGTGGGTAAGTCTGATATGGTGCAGTTGTGAAGCTAGGCTGACACAGTGACGGCTGCCCATGCACCATCATGCCAGGGTTTTGCTGTCCCATAACTTGTCCACTCAAGTACATTGGCTGCACAGGATATCCAGGATATCCTGTAAAAGTAACTTATATTCAATCTTGTTTACACCATAACCTTCGTAGATATATGATTCAGCATTCATTGTACTTGTGTGGATACAATGTAACTATGCTTGCATAAGAAATATGAGCACAAAATTTTACTAATAATATGACTATGTGAAACAGTGGTATGTAACCAAAGCGAATATATATGTAAAAAAAAGTTTTCCTTGTTTTAGTATTTGAAAAAGCCAGTAATCTTAAACTGCATACTATGAAAACGCTGTTCTGACATGAACATTCATATATTATGAAGAACGCAAAGAAATCAACCTAGCGTAGGCTCAGAATGTAGCAGCTTGTTGCAGCAAACAAGAGGCTTGCACTGTATACCTGCTATCCTATTTAAGTAATTTAATCATGCAGTCTTTCTTTGGCAAACAGTTATTATGCAGCAGATTAAAAAGTGCTTCTTCTTGTAAATCCTTAAGGTTTGTCCTCACCATAAAAGCCTTCCATAGGAACCAATCTTGAGTTACTTCAATCTAGTTCACATCCTTCCAATCTATCTCTCCACAGCCAAAATTAATATGAAAACTGTTTGGAAAGTAACCTCCAATGAGGATTTTATATCAAATAACCACATGAGGGAGAGTCAGTAAATAAGTCATAAATGTATACAAAATGTAAAACATGTGATATTGAAACCTGGAACAAACACTTATTTCTCAACATATCCTCCAGCAACATTGATACACTTGTAAGATTTGAGGCTTTCACGGCGGTGACTATGAAGAAAGCAGTCTTCTGGGATTTGGCACCGTGTATAAGTGGTGTTAACCGACGTTCCTCCGAAACGNCTGAAACCTGGAACAAACACTTATTTCTCAACACATCCTCCACCAACATTGACACACTTGTCCCACTGCTTTACCAGTACGCTGAAAAGTCTTTTGACCGCTGTCTCAGTCACTTCCACACAACTATTTTATTATCTGAAACTTCTGAATGTCCATCACAGAATTCCTTGATCCAGCTGTGAACTGCTTTATGCAACAAATACTTCCCACCATAAACCGGAAACATTTGTTAATGAATATCCTTTGCATTGAGTCCTGCGCCCCCCCAAAAAAAAGGCACAACAGAATGCTTCTCCTCAAACACGATGACCATTTTGAATATGGAAACCAGCCTCTGAATATGCACAGGTGCATCTGCTAGCTAGATTGTCATGAAGTTGGACTGTGCTGCTACCTAATGATACAGACAGAAAAACTATTACGTCCATTCCAGCTGTTCTACTTCCATTTTGACCTATTTACTTACTCTCCCTCATACTTAAGCTACTTCTCAATGTAGTCACCACCAGAATTGAGGCACTTATATTGAGGAATAAGTTTTTGTATGCCTGTGTCAAAGAAAACTGCCGCCTGTGAGCTTAAGCCACATTTTGATACCTTCCATCAATTACTCATTATTACTGAAGCGCTGTGATCCCAACCAGTTACTGAGGTAGGTAAACAGGTGGTAGTTGCTTGGAGCGAGATCAGGGCTCTAAGGAGGTTGGTCAAACAACTCCCCAGTTGAAATGCTCCAGCAGTTCCTTCACTCATTACAATTTGGCCATAAACTGCACACAATTCACAATGGATTTCCATAGCACTGTTTTTAGCATGAATAAAGCAAATAACGGCTCAAATTTAGCAGCTGGTAAGGTTATCAATCACAAGACACATCATATTTAACTCTGCAGAGACAATAACAAATTTTAGCTGACAAGTTATGTATTGAAGAAAGTCGTCTTCTGGGTTTAGGCGCCGTGTATTCTTTGTTTTGACCTAAACCCAGAAGACGACTTTCTTCATAGTCATCGCCGTGAAAACCTCAAAACTTACAAGTTATGTATTGGTTTACAAGGCAATAAGTCATGTGACACTAACTTCCATGTGCAAGCTCTCCCTTGCTCCTACATTAGTTGTCTAAAATAAACGGAGGTTACTTTCCAAATATCCCTCATATTATTCTTCCAGTTATGCCTATGTTTCCTGCACAGTATCTTCCAGTGACATTTACCAACCAAAATTTTGTTGGAATTTACTGTTTTCCACATGAACGCCACATGATCTGGTGATCACAACCTCGAATTAATGACTAGCAATACTAGATAAGAGCATAAACTGTAAAGTTCCTCATTATGCAAATCTCTCTACTTTCTTTTCACTTCATGGCTCATAAGAGTGAAGCTTCAATGAAAGAGAAGTGATGAAAGCAGAATTCAAGCAGTGATTTATACAGGAATAAAATGTGGTTGAACATCACATATTTTATTTTCACAGTGAGCTCTGTCCATGAGAAGTAATGGCAACATTTGAGTAACTGCTACATTAAATTTCTGCCAGATGTTACATTACCTTGCTGTTGGTAAGGTTGCCCAGATTGAGGTGGTGGCTGTTGTTCAGAAGGTTGATAACCTTGTGAAGTAGGAATCTGTTGCTGCTGTGGAGGTTGTTGAGATGATGACGCTGGTGGCTGCTGCTGTCCACCAGACTCAAACCCTGAAGAGACTTGTCGTGAGCCTGAACTGCCAATGCTGTCAGGTGTACTACCCCGCCCAGTTTCAGAAACAGTAGCTTAAATATACAAACATAACACATGCATTAATTTTTATGTGAAAAAATGAATGATGTTAAATGTCAGTTTTGAAACTGACCATAGGTCGAATTCAACCACTCTTTTCTGTTGTGGTTTCTCAGGACTTCTATGTTCATTCCTGGGTCCAGGCACCATACTTTGTTGTCACTTCTAAACTTTTCAAGAAACACTGCAATTTCTGTTAATTACACACACCTCCTTCTGGAATAAAGGCAGCAGTCTTAAAAAGGGTCTTTGGTCTCTAAATGCTGCTTTCTATCCTTACCTTCAGATCCATCAAACAGAACATCAAAACCTTCTACTGTCACAATCCTGGTACTACAAATGCAGGAATCAGGTTTGCTATCTGTCATTTCATGCCGAGGATGGAGATTGCTAATTTCTCCATAATGGTGGCAAATTAGCATTATCACAGTACATTGTCACCACGGATAAATGGAAGCATGAGTCTGAACATTTCCTCATTAAAAAACACTTTTGAGAATGGTGGGTATTTAAATGTCTCATGACCATGTATGTGGTGGAGCATTAAATACCAGCATATTGTGGCCTATAGACCTATTACTAAGTGGTGACTCTGTAAACAGCAATTTTTTCTGGGCAAGAGCTCGATAAACGTTTCCATTGCCATCAGCAGAGCACTAATATCTGAAGTTGGTTGTTAGGACATGCAGTCCTTGGGCCATAAGGGCATGAGGAAAAGACCTTGCTAAAAGACTATAACCAGTCAACACGTAGTGGGGTTGTAAGACAGGAATCGGCCAGCAAGCACCAGAGCTGTTGAACATGGAAGCTGAAGAATCTATGGGTTGGGAGTGTTACCAGGTGACAACTGATATAGATACAGCAGACTGACAATTCTTAGTGCATGCTGTAGTATTATGCTAAGTGTTTAGACCTGTGAAACTCTTATAATTAATTGTAGTTATGGTTTGTAGAAGTCAAATTCAATTACTGATCAAAACCCCATCTCTAGTCACTCAACATGTGACAACATATTACCATTACATGAGTATAACTACATAATTCTTCTGAATATAACAACTTGTTCCTCTTTTAACTTTTTGGTGATGAAAAGAAGCAAACAGGCAAGGAAGAAAGAAAACTGATCCAATTAAAAGCATGGACTTCACTACAGATGCTTATTCAAAAGTATTGCAAAATGTCACAGACAATGGAGAAAAGACAGAGTGATTGTGACCCACATAACAGACCCCGTCACCTTCACGTATGTCTCAGGAAGAGGAGCTCAATATCCTACATTACCTTCAGGCTGAGCCTCCTCTATTACATTGCCAGATCCAACCGTCTCTCCACTGTGGTTCCTCTTCAGCCGTGCCTGTTCCTGCAGAGGGTCAAACTCCCTAGAACTCAATTTTGATGCAACACTATTTCTCTCTGCTACTCCATCTGTAATACAGGGATGCATGAGTAAACAATCTGCTTGGTGCATAAAATAGTGTGACATAATACCTGAAAGCTGCAATAGTGGAGTCAGTGCCCACTGCTAGACAATGGCTGAGTAATCATGTTTCTGCAGCAATGTCACAACAAATAGCAGAGAAGACATCGTTGCCTATGTAGCAAGTGCAAAAACATTCCCGACATGGTCAACACTGGAACTTCAGCTGCTTACTAGTGAGTGTTTTAACAAGACCGTTTCCTAAGAATGGATTAGTGACACTGAATTTCCTCGGATACCAGAAACAGAACTCTTCAAGGAGGTGATTCCTATCCCAGCCACCTAGCATGGATAAAAGGAGGCCAGTTGAGAAGCCATCAGAAGTGATTCGGTGTGCTTTTGAGAGACAGACACTGTTCAAGCAAGTATAACAAGTCTGAGAGAGTAAGAATATAAGAGACTATAGACTCTTCAAGATTCATCATGTTACATAGCAAGCAGGCTTTGAAGACTTTGTTTTGTGTCTTATAGTTAAAGTAATCTGAAACTGTTACAATTAATTGCAGTTATGAATTGTGAATATCCAATAAATCAGCTCGCCAATCCAAACCCCATCTACAAGTTACTAATACATGACAACTGCAACAAAATCTTAACTGAAAGAAAGCAGTCTTCTGGGATTTGGCACTGTGTATATGTGGTGTTAACCGATGTTTCGGAGGAACGTATCGCCTCCATCAGACTGTCTGCCTTTACCGGTTCTCACGGTCTCTTCGCTTGCAGATTTCTTATATTTTTTCTTCTACCCTGAAGATGGAGGCGATACATTCCTCCGAAACGTCGGTTAACACCACATATACACGGTGCCAAATCCCAGAAGACTGCTTTCTTCACAGTCACCGCTGTGAAAGCCTCAAATCTTAAAATCTTAACTGTTTCCACTCTATGTCAACATTTCAGATTCACAATACTAGCTTGTTGGTAAACAAACTGCTAACTTGACAAAGTTTCTGTATTCAACTGTTGTCTGTTGGTACAAGTCTCAAACCTTCAGACATTCTTATGGGTGTAATTCTCCTGTCACAATGGACAGAAGTCAGTTACCACAAATTTCAGAGCAGAGAGGGTGACAATGTTCATATAAGCACAGCCCCCCACCCCGCAATTCCTTCTGGACTACAAAATTTTCCTGTTATGTTGCTGCACTATATTCTGCCTGTATTTTAAATGCTGGATGCTGCTCTCAATAAAGACTTGGTTTAACACTTTCCCAACTGAATGATAACATCAATGAAAAATCAGTGCAAAGACACTGCACATACTTCCTCATGTACAACTGACCTTGGCCATGGTACCTTGAACAAAACTGTCACTACTCAGTACACCAGTGCTGGCTGCTGAACTCCAAAAAGCAATTAAATCCATCGGACCAGTACAGCCAGTTTCAAGAAAACTGACATTTCACATTTTGGCCCCTAGTGTGTGTACCATTATTTTCCTATGCAGTTTTAATTAAGAATACAATTTCCATAAACTTCTGAAGCCCAATCAAAATCATTACAGTTTCCTTTGGGAAAAATCACTATTTTGTGCTTTGGGGCCCATCTCAGAGGCCTCTATTTTTGGAGCCAGAATGTTCAAATTCAATGGGCACAAACCCAGGACTGATACACTCTTGAATATCATAATATGAAATACGAGTGAAATCTATATTATATTTAAGCATCCTGTTACGTTCCACACTTCTATATGTATAATACAAACCCCGTCATAAATGAAACACTCTTTTATTGCAGTTCTTGTCCCCCTTCTTTCACAGTACATGTTTCGGCCACACCTGGCCATCATCAGGTGTATTTTACTTCACTTAGCTGTCACACTGCACTCAATATTAACATTTAAACTCCAGATTTCCAATGGTTCATTGTTCTGTTGCCAATCAGCACCCGATATGCCAGAACTCCATCGGTTTTGTCAATTATGTTTAAAATCTTTATTAATATTGACTCTTCGATTGGTTTAAAATTTTAAATTCTCAATTTAGCTTTAGTATTTAAAATTTAACTTTAGATTTAAAATCAAAATCACAGAGATACCTGCTCTATGCTTATATGTGCTGCAGCAGCTACCTCTTGCTTTCAGCACAACTCGCGTGTTATCTGTAATACACAAATATTCATGTTACTGTCTTATGTTCTTACATTATTCCTGTATGCAGTATTTTATACTGTTATGTGTACTTACTCTGTGCAGGTTCTCTGTGTACGTGCCACTGCTTTTCTTTAATACGTTTGCTGTCTGGTGTGTTGTGTGCTGTGTTTTTATGTTGTTGAGTGTGGAAGGGGAATGGGTAGTGGGGGGAGTGGGGTGTACCGTTAGTTGGTATAGATCTCGTGTATTGTTTGAAATATGGGATTGTGTGTATCCATGTATATTTAACACTAGATGTAAGGAGCATATACATGATATTAGAAATAATAATAGCAATTCTGGATACTCAAATCACATACTAAACACGGGACATACATATGGAACAATAACAGACATAATGGAAGTTATAACAACAGGGAAGAAAGGTAGACATTTGAATACACTAGAAAAATACCATATATATAAGCTAAGTAAGAAGGGCCTGCACATGAATGACACATACATAGATACACACAATCGCATATTTCAAACAATACACGAGATCTATACCAACTAACGGTACACCCCACTCCCCCCACTACCCATTCCCCTTCCACACTCAACAACATAAAAACACAGCACACAACACACCAGACAGCAAACGTATTAAAGAAAAGCAGTGGCACGCACACAGAGAACCTGCACAGAGTAAGTACACATAACAGTATAAAATACTGCATACAGGAATAATGTAAGAACATAAGACAGTAACATGAATATTTGTGTATTACAGATAACACGCGAGTTGTGCTGAAAGCAAGAGGTAGCTGCTGCAGCACATATAAGCATAGAGCAGGTATCTCTGTGATTTTGATTTTAAATCTAAAGTTAAATTTTAAATACTAAAGCTAAATTGAGAATTTAAAATTTTAAACCAATCGAAGAGTCAATATTAATAAAGATTTTAAACATAATTGACAAAACCGACAAGGGGAATTCTGGAATATCGGGTGCTGATTGGCAACAGAACAATGAACAATTGGAACTCTGGAGTTTAAATGTTAATATTGAGTGTAACGTGACAGCTACATGAAGTAAAATACACCTGATGGCCAGTTGTGGCTGAAACATGTAGTGTGAAAGAAGGGGGACAAGAACTACAATAAAAAAGTGTTGCATTTATGATGGAGTTTGTATTATACAACCATTCATGCACATCCATACATACAGACAGCACACCAAAAGACACTTTTTCATAATCAACAGTGCTGAAAATGTGTAAATTTGTCAACACCTCAAGATCGATCTTTTCATGATCACAATAATTTTTCAGATATACTACATACTGGAAAGAAATGGGAGAAAACAGCTGCAGACTATTTTGAAGTCCTGGAGATACAGAAGTAACAACAAAAATCCTTCATTCAGTAGATATCTCTACAGAGCAGTGGTCAGCACATACTATTCTGCACAACAAGACTGCATAATATGAAACTTCCTCTACATGTATGTATGTTCACCACTAGTGAACATCACATCTGTCAAACAATAACATGGCCTTCTTTTATGGTAGAATTTTTTTTTTTTTGNACATTCTTCGTATTATCAACGTCTACATCGTTGATATATGTCTGGTATGTAGATTATGTTGCACACGTCAAATTTGTTATTCTTGTAGTAGCACTCTAAAAATCTTTAGTTATGATGTTTTAAAACCTTTTAAAATTTTTCACTAAATTTTAAATTTAAAATTTAAAATTCTTAGGGTTACTCGCCCTATGTCTAAGTGCTGGAGCGGCTAGTTCTTGTTTTCACACTGTACAGGTGTTATTTAATGTAGTCTTCTTGTTGGGTGCTGCTGCTTGTCTGTACTATGTAGTAGTAGTGTCTCCTAGCAAATGAATGCGTTATATTTATGCAGCTCCCAGACTCTGCAGTTTATGGATTTTAGGTGTGTCTCAGAATGTGTACCAGCATCCTAACGTAGCATGACATTACACAGAACTTCCATGTTGAAGGAATATACTGCTTTTTTCAGGTAAAATGATCATGACATTTGACTTCTTATGGTATCTTCCCCTAAAAAAACACACATGAACACATGCAATTGTAAATACATTACCATTCATGCAGGGTCTCATTACTTCCAATTATTTTAAAACAGGAACTTCTTCCAAAAAACCATTACAAATATTAATATGACTTAACAATTACTTTATCATCGTGCTTTTACATTTTTATTCATCTAAATAACACTGCTTCAGGAGAATATACAGATACAACTTTCTGGAAGCTAGTTTGAATAATGTCATTTCCTTTTAGCGCAATAAACTAATTTACACCAATTTCAAGTAACAGAACTCACTTCAATGCACAGCGATTCTTGGCCCCACAAGAGAGGCAGAGAAGAGGAAACAGATTACTGTGTACGTTTGTGGAGGAAGAATGAGAGGGGAGAAGGGAAAATTATATTAAATTTATGTGATTTCACCCTCTGTTACCATTTTTTAACACAACCATCACATAAATTGGGTAATACCTATACAAAGAACTCCAAAGTGTCTATTTCAGAGTCATATTCAGAGGGGAGAGTGTTGTCTTAAACAATCTCTGAAATGTCTGATATGAAATGCAAAGAATTTAGTTTGATAAAATTATAAAAAAGGTAAACTTATCCCTGTAACTCGCCATTGAGGCCCATAGGGTTGTGAGACATCAAGGCTCTCACATCTTCTAGACCAGGGGTCTCCAAACTTTTCGAACCGTGGGCCATATTAGGTAATTTAGCACTTTCAACGGGCCGGATAAAATGAGAAATTAATAACTCTAGGTATATGAGTTTTATTGAAAGCACAGAATTTCATAAACTAAATACAAAGTACGTGAGAATAAATTATCGTATATTAATGACATCAGACAGTAGCAGCAAATGCTCATATTTTCATCACAAAGTATAATAAAACAATTAATGTGAATGATGGAAATCTTTTTGCATTCTTAAAATCTGATTAAATTGAGGTTCAAATTTTGAGACGCTAATCACAAGTAGCAACTTTAAATGTTCATCGAATAAATTTACCCTGTATTTTGACTTGATGTACTTCATCTGGGAAAAAGTTTGTTCACACAGATATGTCCCAAAAATGGAGACAAATTTACAAGCAAATTTCTTTAAATTTGGAAATTGGTCAGAGTTCAGAAATTTATAAAATTCGATCAAATTTCCTTTCTTGTATTTGTCTTTAATATGATAATTTTCCTGAAGTTCAATAATTTCCATCTGAATTTGACTTGGGACATCTGCAGCATCACAGTCAAACGGATTTTGAAACAATCTAATTTCCTGAGCACTGGAATCCAAATCAGGAAATTGCTTCCAAAATTCTTTCAAATCTGAAATGACTAAATTTGCAAACGAGGAAGGAAATTCTGCTTGACCCTTTTTATGCAACTCTGCACAGTATAGCATATGAACAAAGTTACAATTTTTCGCTTGCCTTTCCAGAAGTATCAACTTTGCTCTGAATGCCTTGATAAGTGCAAATAAATCACAGACTAAGTTATTTTCACCCTGCAACTTTAAATTCAAATTGTTCATATGGTTCACCAGATGAGCAAAAAATTCTAATTTCCAAAGCCACTCAGTATCTGATAAAGGTGGTTTGTGATGGTTTTTCTCGGTAAGAAATATATCAATTTCATTCCTGACCTGAAAGAAGCGTGAAAGAACCTTTCCACAGCTAAGCCATCGAACAGCAGTATAATATGTCACGTCAATAGGCTCGGAATCACATTTACCAGCACTCATTGGAAAATTAGCTCAATTGGCGCATTTCTGCACAATTCTTTCGTGGGCCGGATAAAATCACATTGCGGGCCATAGTTTCGAGACCCTTGTTCTAGACAATCAGCTCACAGCTGGTGGTGAGGCTGTCAGCCTTACATGTTGGTCACTCTTTAACCCCAGGAAGATTCCTGGTACTCATTTCTGTGAGAGGCTGAGTCGGCCCCAGGGGCACAGTGCAGCTGGAAGGATTAGGTAAATTGAAAATTCAATGACCACAATTGGAATCAAATCCACAACCTTCGTAGAGAAGTGGCCAATATTCATGTTCAGGACAAAACTGATCTGTAAAGAATGTTATAAAATGTTACTCTTAATTAATCTGCCCACATACACTATTGATCCATAGTAATATTTATAAGATGGAGATTCAACCATTTTGAAGTGTCTTTATTGCAGGAAAAACACATTAATGACTATACTACATCCATATGCAACATGGTGTTGACTTTGGGAATAATAAAACTCTGGACTCACTACGGTTCTCTGCAGTGGAGCTGCTCACTTCCACAGCTCGAGGTTCTATGGAGTCCAAAAGATGGTTCACTTGGTCACGAATGCGCTGGAGTTCACGTCGGATGTGATGTACTTGCACAGGTTGCAAGCTCTGGTTGCGCTGATTTGTTTTATCCTCTCCCCCAACCAGAATCTGAAGCTTTAGAATGCGACTGTACTGAACAGCAAATGCCAGGTCCGAGCTGTCGAAAATGGTGATCAGGTCTCCATCTATCACAACACAGCATTCAGACTGTATCTTCTGTTTCAAGAATGTCTAAAGTAATAGAGACCACTGTATCACCTAGCTATTGGTTTAAGTGACAAAATTAAAAATTCTCATTACTACTGTCTATTTTAGTATTGCACACAAAAATTGACGCATTTGCTATATAAGTATCCAATCTCGTCCAATGACAGTTTAAGTTTATTTATAATACTGCAGTTATGGTTTTTGTTCTTCCTAGTATCTGCTGACAATGGCGCAGAAATTCACTTATAAAGCAGCAGTAGTTCCATTTACTCCCACTGTAGGATAAAAACAGTTATCAGCAGAAATGATCTACACATCTGAACTCTGATTCACATTAAAAGCCCTGTGCCTCCAATATCAAAATTACAGCATGCAGTCCTGGTTCTCATACTTTGGCTGCACTGCTTCACACTCTGAAAATGCCAAATGATGCAGCAAAGGCTGGAGACCCAAGGCTCCATACAGACAATCAAGAAAGCCTTTATGTAATAACATTTTCAAAGTCATGATTTTGTCAGAAGTGAAAGACGTGGAAGGGATGAGGAAAATCTGGAATGTAATATGGCCAATCTAGAACATCAAACCTTTGGCATTGGAGTCCAGAAATTCACTATTTGATTGCAAGGTCCTCTCACTGCTTACTCCTCTCACACAAACCTGCATCAGTTGCATTAATTGTGTCACTTACCTTCATCCTTATATTTAATTGTAATTTCATCAGAACTGCTGAGCTTCCCTCTGAATACCCTCTGCATCATTAGTACCAACTCATCATATGTTATTGCTTCATTGTGTATTGGAATACGCCGAACATCGTCGCCCAGCTGGGCCTGTAAATGACACACACATACATACACCGCAATCACCACTCTTTCCTTGCAAGGGAGCCAACTGACCTAATGAAGCAGGTTCTACTATGCTTCCATAATCTGATTTTGTACTACATGTATTCTAAAACACAAAATCCACGTTTTCCCAATTTATTTCTGTCCTAACTGCTTGGACATGGCATTGTCATGGCAAATTTGCTACTTGCAGATTCATAATTACTATCACTCTTGACAAAAATGGATCCCTTTTTATAACAACAAAACCTACTGGAAATGTGTGCTCTGCTGACTGTTGCATTTTCAAATGCTACGTATTTGCATCAACTAGTAAGTCTTGGTCACAACAGCTCTTCACAGTTTCTGATACAAGTTGTCAGAAGGCTATTGCTAATGTAACAGCAGTGCTGTTTGTGTGTGTGTGTGTGTGTGTGTGTGNATCCTTCCTGCCGCATTATGGCCCTAAGGTAGACTCGGCCTCTAGCAGAATTGAGTACCTAAATCTTCCTGGAGGGTAAAGGGAGGCCGGTGTATAAGGCTGACAACCTCACTGTCATCTGTGAGCTGAATGTAGAAAAAGTGGGTGCCTTGATGTCTCACAACCCTATGGGCCTCCACGGCCTGTTGCAGGGATAGTTTTACCTTTTTATTTTATCTTTATATGCCACTTATTCGGACACTTCAAGCACTGAATAGATTTCACATACATATGCCAAAATTATGCTGTTGCTACTATGAAAAAATATATAACACATTAACAGCGATAAAGGAAACATACGCATTAAATGTACCTTAATTATTAGCTTTCCACTCAAATCTAGTTGTGGATATGCCGGCTCTTCAACTCCACCCTTTGGAAACGTGGAATTCATTCTTCCAAGGTAGAAATCTACAAAAAGATTTCACTGCTTAATCACAATTCTGACCTGAAATTTCAATCAACTTAATTCAATAAATACTGGCTTCTGACTTGTGAATGCAGGAAGGTTAACAGGCTATTGATGCATAATAATTCAAAAAGAAACTGGCCACAAGACTTCAAATCACGTCGACTGCGTAAGAGATGGTCGATCTATATTCCATGAGTACTAGAATTCAATATTGGCTCAATCACTTGCTCTTTTAACAACCGTACCAGCAGAATGCGACTTTTTGGCTGTTTTGTTCGAGGATAAGACTCAACTGCGAACTAATTGAACTAACCATTAAACCTATAAACTACCTACACTATATCACGCGTTACAATTACACGATATTCACCACGATGACCACGACACCGGCAGAAAAAGTGGTCAGCAAAGATGACACACCTCTCAGCTATACACTACACGCTCAGTGCCCTCAGTGCACACTCAGCAGCGGTTTGTGTGTGAAGCGACAGAACATGTAAGCCACTTGTTTGGTATACGTGTATAATGGAAAAGGAAAGCGGTCAGGGCGTAATCAACAAGAATGCCAACGTTGATTGATGGAAATTCCCGCATAATAAGGTATATTGTGATAGTAGTACACGAGGTGTGGAGGATGAGCGAGGATGAGCCTGTAGTAGACGTTGTAGAGGTTTGAAATGATCAGTTTTTTGATACTCGGTTTTGTATTTGTTGTAGGAATGAGAGCTGTATATATAATTTGTAGTATACACAAAGGAACGAAGACGGCATCTGCGAAACGGTATCATCCTCTGAAGACAGCAGTTATTATTGGCTCAGGAGGCCATACAACTGAGATTTTAAAACTATTGCAGAATCTTAACTCTGTAAACTATTCACCTCGAATTTATATAATGGCTTCAACTGATACCTCTAGTGAAGTTAAAATCCATAAAACAGAAGAAACATGCTTCTCACATAATGGGTTAAACTCGTATGAAATTGTCAAGATACCAAGGAGCCGAAGTGTTGGTCAGATGTATATTTCGTCTGTGTTCACAACCTTGTTTGCCCTACTAGTTTCGTTGCCAATCATGCTGAAGAAACGACCGGAGGTTATTATCTGTAATGGTCCAGGAACATGCATTCCAATTTGTGTTATAGCATTTATGATGAGGGTCCTGTATATAACGGACACAAAAATAGTGTTTGTTGAGAGCATATGCCGGGTAAAGACTCTGTCTTTGTCTGGCAAAATACTGTTGCTGTTTGCTGACATAGTTCTTGTGCAGTGGCCAAAGTTGAAGGAGCGTTACAGAAGAACTACCTTTATTGGAAGATTAACATAACTGCAACTGTAGTATCTTACTTCAGATGGATAGTTACATTTTATGGGCCTGTAGTTTACCCAACTGTACCCTTTGTAAAATCACTGTTACATATTTCCTTTAAAATGCATTCTCTTGGTACTGATGTATGTCCACAGTTCAGTCCTATCATTTGCAGAGTCCCGTGTAGTTCTAGAAGAAACTTGAAGCCAGATGAACTCAAGAACACCACATTCTGTGTACTGCATATGTGGACTACTGTACTGAACCAGTATTTGTTAGGATCAGCATTAATATGTTTACTTTTATGTTAGAAGGTTTTGAGCAATTTTGTTGAGGAAATTCAGAATAATTCTCAAGAGGTCACTTGTGAGGAAGTTGCATAACATACTTCAGATGGGAAGAGTATAATTGTTACAATTACATCTAGGCTTGCTGGCTGTAGTTGAGACAGTGCCCCATTTAAAATGCAGCCAACATTTAGTTTGCATAGTAATCTCTTACTTATTTGCAAGTTACATATCATGCAGATTCTTGGATTCAATTTCAAATTATATTTTTAAACAACATATTATTCAGCCAAGTAGTACAATAGATATTAAAGTTTTATAAAATACTTTTTAAGCCACTCAAAGGAAGAACGAGTGAACATCTCCCTGCTTTACTTTTCTTCAGTCTTGCACCTGATATTATGTAGAAGTGACATGGAAAGTTGTGCTTTCTCTCACATACATTACTTATGCGTCATTAAGTTTGATGGTTTCTTACTCTGTACTATCTAGATACACCTGGGTAATAATCTGGTTCACCCATGGTCCTAAGATTGTTACCATTTTCAGGATGCTTGTCTCCTTGTACACACAGTGATTATTAAAAAGAAGACTACCACTGCACTTTGGCACTGCAATTTCCTAACAAAATTTTGAAGTGGTACTTAGGGTACTGGTAGAATAGCTGTTCTTTGCATCAGCAGTTGTGTTGTCCACTGGGGCATGCACATATATCAAATCAGTGACCTCTTAGTATTATATACTATATTATGTCACTAATAAACTCTGCCTTTTTAACTGCTGATATGGTTTCCTTATGTATGAACACTCCTGTACCCCAATTCATGATTCTCATTCCCATTTCCACAGAAAACTGTACAATTGCTTGCTGGTTCAGTGCCACTCCTGTGCCATCTGACCTCCTGTACTCCCTCTAAGTCTAATTTACACTTTTCTAATTCTCTTGCTACTGTTTCAATGAACCTGACCTATAGACACCTTACATTCCACATGCCAAATGTCATGTACATTTTCCTTTGCTTGGGTCATTTAAAGGAATACAAATCTGAGGCCCTGTGTAACATTTTGTAACAAACTTTTCTTTTATGGTGAATCCAAACCCCTCCCAGGATGGTGGCCCACCCCTTGTAAGTGGTCTGTGAATATTTATTCGATACACTCACAGATACTCTCCATAGCTGGAGGACATTTCCTACATCCACAACATGATGTGCCATGCTGTGGTGACAAGGAACCTTCTATATAATAAATATTTTATATCTGATATGTAGGTATGTTTATGATCAGCATACCAGATATCACTGCCACACCCCAAATGAAAGGAAATGTTTGCATGACTACCAAGTTGCTGCATTAGATTCTATAATAAATTACCTTAGCAAAATTGGCATACTTTTCCAGATACCATTCATCATTTCATAAGTGGAGCTAGTGTTGCTCCAGTCTCACAAGTCTATGCATCTGCCATGTTGTTACGGATTATAATAAATTAAAAAGTATAAAGCTATGATATTCACACCCAAGTTTTGTGAAAACTGGTGAACTGGTTCAAAAGTTGAAATGGGGGAACACGCATGGATAAACATATAACATGCCAATGTCAGAAACCTGCTTTATTTATGAAGGGGAGTAGGCTAAAAATAATAGCATTTAAATTAGTTTGAGCTGCTGGCTCAGATGATCACAAAATGGAGAATTTGCCACCCGTTTATCACTATTAAAAGATGCTCATAATGAACATTATTTTACGAACTAACTACGGTTAGACTGCAGTGTACGAGTTTAAGTAGAAGTAAGAGTGCATATTGTGAAAATAATGTTCATTTATTTAACATTCTGTGCACAGCAACTCATGCTGTTATATTATACAAGACATACAGAAGAGAAATATTCTACACAATAACACCATTTACTTCCACTGACTTGTGATTTGATATTTCCAGTGAAATTACTAATTGCATACTGTCCAAAAGCAATCACAGTTAAGCAGTTACATACGGTTCATTTTATGAATCCCTTTCATTACAATACGAAGTACATAAGAGTGCTTTGAACTTATCAAAGAATCAAACATGGCTGTAACTATACAAAGTAGTGGACCTTCAAAATGGCAGAGAGCTATACCATAAGAAATAAGATCATCAAGCAGCATGATTCAATAAAATTTGAAATGTTTCACATTTTCACCCGAACATACAAACGAGTATGTAACAAATGCTAAAACCCTACTATTCCAATATCTGAATATCAACAATGAAGGTACGGATTTGCATGGGGACCAGGGTAATTGTCAAAGAATTTTCATCCTTTTCTGATATTAATGGTGAGTCTACATCTTCTTTCAGAGTAGAATCGACTTCATTTGATTCTGACTGCCATTCAAACCTATGTGATTCAGACAACCACTGGTTACCTCCCAATGTAGTCTCTTGAGCCCGTACAATGGAGAATGGCTTGAATAAATCCTGAAATAAATAATTGTTCATTATTTATTGGTCTGAAGGTCAGAAGTCCCATTTAAGCCTGCCTTCCATATCTCACTTATGAAGTAATGTTTACTGTATAATACTGTATAAAAACTTTACAACAACGTATAATTAATGACATCCTTCTTTCTTATATTTTGAAGCCAAAACCACAGGAATGTGAACTACACTCAAATTGCTATGAAATAAGCTAAAGTAATACTCTGACACAAAATTTCTGAAACCACCATCAATGAGCACAAACTTCCCATCACCCTTTTGGTATTGATGACAAAAGAGTTTTAAAAAATGGAGACAGGAAACATCCTGTGCATGTAATGGATGTAATAGGCTTTCTATGTGTAACACTAGGTAGCAGCATAGTCCAATTTCATGATAGTCTAGGTGGCAGATGCACAAGCCCATGTTGAGCAGATGGTTTCAGTAGTCAAAATGGTGACTGCGCTTGAGGCATGAACTACCAAAGAGTAGCATTCTGTGTGCATTTTTTTTTTTTGTGGGCAAAAGGACTCAATGCAAGGGACATGAATAAAGAAATGCATCTTGTTTACGGTGGGAAGTATCTGCTGTGTAACTGGGTTGAGAAACTCTCCCAAGGACTTACAAAAGTCGCAGATGATGCCCAATCAGGTCGCCCCATTGAGACTGTGACAGAAGCAAAGACATCGATCTGTGCTGCGGATTTAGACATACTGGTAAAGCGATGGGACAAGTGCATCAGTGTTCATGGAAGGTATGTCGAGAAATAATTTTTTTTTCCAGGTGTGAATATAACATGTTTTATATTTTATATCCATTTGTGATCTATTTACTGACTCTCCCTCATATGATCATACCCTACACCCTTCCTTTCCACATAATTAGAAAGGATGAATCACATGGCATATATGGAATAGGCAAAATAGGCATACAAAATTTTGGTATGAAACCCTAAGGGATGAGACCAATTGGGATATCAAGCTGGTTCCAAATAGGGCCAATAGCAGATTTTTCACGTCCCATATAACAAGAGGGAATTTTCTGATCTGCTCACGGAAGATCTTGGACCATTCAGCTCAGATCCTTTCAAATAATTTCCCTTAGAAAAATTTTAAAATTCTCCATCCACGTACTTTTAAGTCTTGAGAGTAATAACTTTTCAAGAGGATTCTCCATAAACATTCGACATAAATTTTTCATTTCTCCCATTTGAGCTACATCATCCCACTGTAGATTCTTTAATTTTATTACTTGAGGCAAACAAGGTGAGCTATATAACATAAATGACCAAGTTCTTTAAAGCTATATAATATCCTCACCCTTATTTGTTCCTAGATAAAATTATTTTTCTGGGAACTTTCTTTTCAAGCATTCAGACTATGCGTTAGTCATGTAACGCAAGAGTTTCAAAATCCACTTTTCTCTTGCCCTTACACTACTTGGTACTGCACCTTAAGGTTAACAGTGGCTGGTTTGGAGAACACAGGATGCTCATTCTTCTCATAAATGTGCTCAAGACGAAGGAGAAAACTGCGAGCCTTCCATGGTTCTAGTGTCAGGATGTGCACATTCTCTGGTAGTCCTTGATTCAGACCAGAGAACTGTAAACAAATATATGCAGCAACTAACTCATGCTTGTTCTTCACTAATGACAACTTGAATTACTTGTTTCATAACAATTTTAAACCCTTTCTGGATTCACACTTTGTAACTCTCTGTTCTTTTTTTTTTCATAAAGAAGTCCACATTTTTTTTTTTAATTTATGAATTTATCCTCTGAATGGATTGAATTTAGCACATCATTCTAAGGACATCTCTCGTAATTTCAGTTGGGGTGCAGCCAGAAGAGCTGGAAGAAAGTGAAAATGAGGAAGAGGTGGACAGTGCTGCTAGTAAGAAAATATCACATGGTTCTGCTCTTAATCATTTGGAATCCTTACTAGACTATCTTGAGAGTGAAAAGAACAGTTTATTAAGTGACAAGCTAATATTACGTAGGCTTCATACGGATATCTGTAAAAAGGAAAATGCCGTGAAAAGCAAACGACAATATTAATTTTTTTTAAGTGTTAAGTGTGAATATTCATAAAAAGTGTTGGATGTTGTTGAACACTGTGATTGAAATAACTAATTCATACTTCAGTGTAATGTAAAAAGAGTATTAAATAGGCCATGACATGACATAAAAATGAGGTTGAATAAATTTAAATACAGGTAGGCCTATAGTATTATGAAGGTACAGTATTACAGTACTACTTTTAATAAAATTTGTCTTAACCGGGTTTTCGATTAATCGTGATTTCCATCCCCACCATTATCCCGGATAATCGAGAGTTGAGTGTATTTTAACATCTGAAGTGGGAAAACACTGTACATAGTGTCATCTTAAATGGTCTCACTGTATTAAAAAGCCCATTTGTATTTCCTCTGAATAGAAGTTCACCATGAGAAGGCAATCTGAAAGAAATGTATATTCCAATTGTAAGTAAGTTTGGAAATTAATTGCACTTCACACATCTTTTGTCATAAACCCTGAAGTGTGATGACTAAAATAAAACACTTCCTTCAGCTTAAAGCAGTGGTTTGTTAAACTCTGGAGATATGTAAAATAGTTCATGGACACAATGGGGAAAAAATGTAACTTTATATCTCTGTGCACCAACATGATTTTAATATAAATTCACAAAAAATTACTGTGTGGATGGTGGTGCTGCTCTACTTTGTTTCAGAAAATAATTATTTTTGTAGTATGTTTCAATCCCATAGTTCAGTACCCAGTCTTTTCTAAAGGAAAATGATTTGTGAAAAAAAAATAAGGAGTCAGCTGCATGAGAAAGGTCAGGTGAAGCGAGTAACTGACATAAAAAAAACAGAAAGGTATACAGATATTTTCCAAATGTAAATTTGCATCCTTCAGTGCCACTTCTGTAATTTATTACAGATAAGAAAATTTTTACCCTGAAGATGGACGAAGTATATACCTCCAAAATGCTGGTAACCACCTACATGGTGCTATAACCCAGAAGACTGCAATATGAACTTAAAATATAGACCCCCCCCAATACCAACTTTAAACAAAACCCACTCAAAAATGTCAAGAGATGAACCTATGGGAGGCTTAATAATATGATTAGCAAAGAAGGGTTTCAATAAGTGATAAAAGTTCTGAAACACTAATTTAGAGAAAAGTAATCACCCTACCTCCATCTTATATGTGCTGGCCCATTCTGCAAAGCTGATATTGTCAGCCGGAGAAAAGAAAAGCCATGGAGACAGCAACAGTTGCTGCTGCAGACTGCGTACTCTTTGGGCTGCAATGCCGCTGGAAATATTTCCAGCAGTAAGCCAGTGCTTTCCTACTGCAACTAGTCCATATCCATGTGCAGTCTCATTGAGGGCCTCACCTACACCAAATGCATCGTCGTGCAACAGTCTGCGGTGGACCTGAAACATGTGACTAAGAAGTCATGAAAAATGCTCACCAGTGGCGTGGGGCATTTCAGAATTTCAAAGGATCATACTTTGAAGACTGAATTATGGTTTATGAAGAAATACTTCCATCTTGAGTTGTGTGTGTACATACTGCCCATAAAATTCATTTCAGCTTTTCAAAGGAGGTGGCACGGGCATATGAGAAAGAAAGAGAGAGAGAGATTTTCTTGATAAGCTGATTCATGTTAACAGCCCCAACCATTAAGATCTTGATGGCTGGGTATGTTGCAGGCTGTTGCAAAAAGTACCTGAAAATTCTCACAGTTCAATTAGAAAAATTTATGTTTGAATTGAGATAAAGCTTTATTTTTCCCTCAATTCAACTTTGAAAATTTAAGTCATTCAGATGACTATATAATACTGACTCTGACTCCACTGACTCTGAGCACATTCCTAATTCTGAAGTGTCTCCCTAACTCCTCAGCATCAATAAACGGTATAACATATACATATCTTTTGCACAGTTATCGTGTTTTCCTGACAAAATACATTAAAATGCTTCATTTTTGCATAATATTGTATACTGGTATTATCCTGGAAAGGAATGGCCAAAATACAATAGTGAAAGATACACATTTGTCCATGAAGTAGACAGCAGGATGAATCCCCTTTGGTCATACATTAAAAAGTGCTGACAGAATTACAAATTACACCAGTAATGAATTACATAAAAGACCATGTAAGCGTGAGTTCTGACATGGTCACAACAGAAATTTAAAACAAATTCAGAAATGTATGTACAGCATCAGTGTAGGTGCAGTCATGTTAACCATGCTAGCCCAGCTACTTTGAAGAAATAAAATAAAGGGCTAATTTCATTGGTCATTGGCATTCCATTTACTGGCAGAAGAAATTATCAGATAATGGATCATCTGCTGCTTCCATCCAACCCATCATAGGCTTTGTTAGCCAAGTCATTCACACCTACACTAGCTGTTTGTAAACACAGATGCAATTAGAAGAGACATGATACAGCATAGGCTTAAGGGAAGGAAGGAGTGCATGACATTCCAAGCTATCAGGTTAGCCAAACAAGGAATGTTATTACATTTCAATCGCTTGCATGTCTGCAAAGCATACAGTGTTAACCATTCCAAGAATGAGTCTGTTGAGCGGTCATTCCCTGTTTTGAAGATGGTCGATATTTACACATGCAGTGTATTGAGAAGTGGAAACTCACCAAGTTATCATTAATAATGACGGAGAAGAACATTCTTCAAGTTTTGGGAAACAGTACAAACTTCTGTGACACTGTGAAAGAAATTTTCACTGAAAAAGAATACTTGTATGGAACTGAACTACAAGGTGTTGATAAATGATAAGCTCAGTGGTTGCTATCATTTTTTCTTAGTTTACATTTCTTTACTTTTTTATTAATTAACTTTATTAATTTTTAGCTAAACCTGTACAGTTGTCTTGATACATGTACACTCTACTGTCAAAATTTTAACAACACTTCTAGGAAAGTTACATTCTACTATCACATAGCATAACCATTCTGGCAAATTGCTCCTTTTTGTTTAGTTACCTTGAAGAATATCAAGACTTATAGAAGAAATGTATTAAGCATGAAATGTTTCACTTTGGTCTACAACTTCAAATAAATATTTTGCAAGTTACACTTTAGACGCATATGGAAACACATGCAGGTCTTCAAGTAAAGTGTCTGTTATTGTTGTTGGCTTTTTAACTAAAATTTCAATGTTGTCAATAAATTTTACTGAAACATGCCACTATCAAATTTAATGAAAATCTGTTTGGTGTTCTCAAGTTTTTATATGTGGACGGGTAGACAGACAGGCATGGCAAAGCTAATAAGAAAATTTTCACAACTTTTCATTGTGAATATATCAAAAACCAATACAAAAAAAGGTACTTTGGCAAATTTCAGAAACAATGAGAAAATGCTATCTCCTAACACCCATAATAGAATGACTAGGCCTTGTGCTTAGAAAGACTGACCACCATACATTTGAGATAACAGGTCACAGATGGTAACACAGGCAGAAGACAGATAGCTGATGGAACATACATGGGTCATTTCATAAATAATGAACAGGTTGGCAACACTGTGGATTAGATGACGCAACAACAGTCAGCCTCACGTCAGTTACAGTTCACGGCTTGAGAAACAAGCGTGTTATTTAGTTTCATTTATAATGCACTCTGTTCTTAAATAACGTGAGTTAGAAATGGAGTCTGCACGGTTCTCGGGTATTGTGACTGTTGAAGAGCAAAGGTTGTACATTAAGATCGAAACTTTACGTGGAAAAAAACCCAACAGACTTGTCGCTATTGATGAAACGTGGGTTAGAAACTTTGAACCATAGCTGACATCACAGTCCAATGAGTGGAGAGGTCCATCTTCCCCATGACCAAAAAAATTTCGACAATCTCAATCAAAGGTCAGACAAATGATGATCTTTGCTTATGACCACCAAGGAATCATCATGACAGACAGAGTATGCAGGAAAAGTGTCACAGCAGTTTATTATCATGACTTTATGCAAAATCTGCACAGAAAAATGCCCAAAAACCAACCTCAGTTGCTCGAGGCTGGGCCGATCATTCTCCATGACAACGCTCGCCTGCACATCGGGAATGTCAGAACAGAAAAGCTGTGCCAATACAGTTGGGAGGTGTTGGCTCATGCTCCCTACAGCCCAGACATGAGTCCACCAGATTTCGACTTATTCCCAAAGTTGAAACAACCTATACGAGGCCGTCATTTTCCCTCTCTGGAAGAGCTTTCTGCTGCAGTTATCTGAGCCATTTGACAGATAAACAAAGATGGTGTCCTGGATGGGATAGTAAAGCTTCCCACATATTGGGACTCGGTCATTGAGAAGCAGGGGGACTAAACTGAAGGACTGTAGAGAGATATTAAAAAAAAAAAAAACGTGGACACAAAAAAAAAATTGTGTGCATTATTTCTGAAATGACCTACGTATTTTAAAGTACTGTGGTGGCTTCATTCATTTTAAGATGTTGTAGGATTCAACCTAGTACAACTTATCATCCCTCACTCATTGCAAATGTGTCTATAACATGTCAACATTACCATGATTCATTAATTACTACAAAACATCAAAATACTTCACACAGTTACCATATTTTTATTTTACATTTTTCCAAAAATTTTCCAAATATTTATCCCCATACAAAACATGAAGGCCGTCTCACTCCCTTGCTTCAAGTTCACATACCAATCATACTGATACTATGACAGTATGAACAAACGGAATCATGTTCATACCACTTTTCACAAAAACCAGATAATGTAGAAACTGTTCTTATATGCACATGTACTGCATAAACTGATGAACTGACACAAGCTGCTCATAGACAAAAGTTTAATCCCTTGGAACTTTAAGCACAGGAAGTTCTCATAAGATATTAAAGAAAGTTACAAACTGTCAGACATTGCTACTAATATAACTTGAAGACACTTACCATGAGTTCCACTTCCCCATCATGAAGACTGGAACCACCCTGGGCTCTGTCTGTCAGAATGGAAAGCTCTTTATCTCCATCCCTCAGTGAGATTCTAGATGTCACTGGGTAATAATTGGCTGATACAGGCTCTTTAATATTCACAGACCACGTTGGGCGGAAGTTGCGTTTTCGTTCCAGTACCTCACGTCCATTAGAATCAGTGTAGAATAGACCATGAGATACAAGGTCTGATGAGAAACGACTTATTATTTCTTTACCCACATTATCACTGAAACCATACATGAAATTCATGTTGCATGACGGCCTGCCTTTCATTTCCACAGGTTCAAGTTATCTCTTAAGTCATGAAAATGAAATTTGATATTCTGCATTGTGAGAAACAATGAAGAAATTCTATCTCCTCCAAGTATCAGATGTTTGAGTCTCTCACTGATAACACTGACTTCCTTAATCACTAATACTCCTTAAATACTCTGTTTCCAAGAATCATTCAGAGTGAAAGACTCCACAGAACCACTACAACTCTAACAGAGGTTTTCATTTCATTACACATGGCCTATGGGAGGCACCAAAACAAATAGGTGGACTAAGGTTGATAAGCAGAGGGTCATATGCTTTCTGCAATATTCTGTGTGTGATAGATGGGTTCTAAGGGAGGGTCAGAGCCATTCAGTCTACAGGACAATCACATCCACTCCAACAGAATTTAAGGAACATTAACAACTTTTCAAACAAGGTAAGGTAGGATAACAGTTAATCGAACAGAGTCTAAGGGCCACAAATAATAAGACAGATACAATTTCCTTATTAGAGTCTGTCACAATACAACAATATAAAAGTCAAGGCTAAAATTAGCTCTGCTACATGTTTCGGCTATTAAAGCCATCATCAGGCAAACACATGACTACCATTATTCACACACTACTGAACTGGAATTACGATGATAAAGCTGGAAACTTGATAATACATTATAAAATACATGGTATAAAAGTACAAACTTATTAAAATGAAAGTTATGACGTAAAATGAGGTTAAAACTCCTATGTGATATTCTATATCAAGTCAGATTGTTGAAATTTTGTCATATTCCAACGGACATAATGGTATATTCAGACTTGTATACATGTAATAACCTGCTTGGAGGCCCATGATATAGATGTAATATAGTTTTGACATTAACTGTTTAGCCGGTGCCTCATCTTACAGTGTATTTGTCTGTTCTGCAGGGAATATAGATTGCAAGTGTCCAGCTTTACTATCGCAACTGCAGTTCAGTGGCGTGTGAATATGGTAGTCATGTGTTTGCCTGATGATGGCTTTAATAGACGAAACATGTAGCCAAGCTAATTTTAGCCTTGACCTTTATATTGTTGTGTTGTGATGGACTGTAATAAAGAAACTGTATATAACAACACAACATGCATGAAATGGAAAAAATCAGACAGAGTCTAAGGAGGGTCAGCGCCACAGACAGTTTAAGGGAGGATCAAAGTCTTTCAAACTGAGTCTGAATGATCACAATCATTCAAACAGAGTCTGAGGGCCATTACCATTCACAGAGAGTCCTAGGGAGGTTCACAGCCACTCAAACCAAGTCTAAGGTAGGATCACAATCACTCATATAGCATAAGGAAGGTCTACAGATAGTACCTGAGGGAGGGCTGCAACAAAAGTCTACAGGACAGCAAAGCTGAAGTCCATGCAAAAATCATAATCAGTTACATGTTCTTGTTAACAAGCAATTTCAAAACACCAAGAGAATCTAGACGGACTGGAATATATCAGCTACTGCCTACTGGTAGCCACTGCTAACCAGATGTGATCACTGGCACCGGACATATGCTCTGGAGAGAGAATTTGGGAGAAAGAGTGCATATTCTTAACTCTTTGCATGATACACATCTATACTTGATGTCATGTGAAGTTATTCTGAGGCAGTCTTGTGGGGTTTTCTGTGCAACTGCATTAATCCCCAAGTAATCATGGCATTTCTAGCAGTAGTTCTATGTTGGGGCTTGACAATCAATGGGTTAAAAATGTGATATATTGGTACTCACTCAATAGGGATTGGCCCAACCAGCCACTCCAACTCCAAAAAGTATGGGTTGTCTTTGTATAAACGCAATGCTTGACTCAGCCAGTCCGACCACTTGATGTGCACCTCATCCACAACATCACCTGTAATGGATAACACAAAATGTGATATAAAAATGAAATGAATGTCCTTGATAGAAAACATTTTTTGACATACTTCCCTTATGTAGCTCATACCAGCATTTACGTGCCAGTTAAGGCACACATTTTGTTACTATATGACACAATGTATTTGAGAGGTCTACAAAATATTATACCAGATATCAAGAATATGACCACCTCTGTGGTCTAGGGGTCAGAGTTTCTGGCTACAGATCCAGAGGTCCCAGTTCGATTCCCGGCTCTACCAGATTTTTTCTGAGTAGTGGGTCTGGAACGGGGTCCACTCAGCCACGTGATGATAATTGAGGAGCTATTTCAAGGAAATAGCGGCTCCAGTCTAGAAAACCGAAATTAAGGGCTGTCGGGATTCATTGCGCTGACCATGCGACACCCTCTATCCACTAAAGTTGGCACTAGAATTCGCAGAAAAGTGGCGGTCGCTCGGTCGCTATAGTTCGCTTGCGGACTAATATCATGGAGTTTGTTTTGTTTTGTTTGACATCATGAATATATTTAAATGGAATAAACCTATTTTTTAACTGTTGTACACTATGGTAATCTTATCACATTCTACAGTAAATAATGACATACCTTTGTAAGTAATTGATTTGGGTGTTGAGCTCACCAGGATTGCCTCAGATCCATTTGGCCGAAAGATGTAAGCTCCAGATGACCTATTTGCATATTCTTTATTGTCTCCAATATAGCCTTTGTAGTAGTAGAAGCTCTGTGAGACAGCTAATTTAATTTTATCCAAGACCATAGTCTTCAAGGTGCCCGTCTTCCCATCCAGTACAGCACTGAATTTCTGTTCGCACAGAAATTAATTGAATTAATATCAACTGTTCGATTAACTGATCTTGGTATATCTCCTTCCATTAACACTTTTGTTCCCATATCCGACAAGCGGTCAGACAAGTGTTCCCGTATGTAGGGGCCCATATCCAACTTAGGTCAGACAGCAATGCATGCAAACATTTTTCAGTCAAACGATATTTATAAAGCACAGTTGGTCATTATATCCATACGATGGGATATGCATCAATATTTCCTTGGCCTTGAACATCACATATCACTGTTATTCCCCTTCTTTATCCTTTGTTGTTTCAATAAGCATGCAGTTCAACAGTGTGTCTACTCACGTTTTGTGTAATGTGTTATGGCAAGCAAGACGAGTGGTGACTGTATAATGGGAGTGTTGTTTAATGAAGATTCTGAAAATGATTTAATTTCAGAATCTGATTCTAGTGAATCAAGAGACCCCAAAAGGCTGGAATCTCCAGAAATTGTCTTGATAAGTGCTGTTGCAGATGAGGCCATAACCAAAACATTGCCAAGCCACTGTCTGCCTCTTACACCAATTAGAGCAAACACAGGCCTGAATACCAACATTTAGAACACTGATATTATGTTTTTTTGTAAATTTATTTATTACAAACAATTTTTTGTGTATGTTTGTGAACAAACAAACATGTATGATAGCCAAGTGATTAGTGCTTCACCACACTCTTTAAGAAAACATTCACAATTTCAGACATGAATTCCAGTATCAGAACTGAAAAAGTTTTTTTTTGGGTTGATGTTTGTGACTGGTATAGTAAATAAACTTATTCTCAAACTCTAATAGTCTGAAGATCCTGTTTTTGAAACTCCAGTAATTTTTAAAACAATGACCCTGAGCCATTTTGAAAGTATTTTGTCATTTTTTCATTTCAGAGACAGGAGCAGGTGCAACATCAATTATCAATTAATTCCTATGGAGTGACCAAGGAAACAAATACCTCTTGATTGCAAGTGACTATTTTACCAAGTGATTTGTAGACTATGCTTTCCCAGTGAAGAGCCTTTGACAGTGGCAGAAGTGCTGGTTACCAACTTCTGCCATTTTGGAATACCGCGGGAGCTACCTTGTGACCAGGGCCATAACCTACAGTCCCATCTGATATAGGAGGTTCAACAATACCTGGGAGTGAGCAAGACATGCACCCCACCCCTGCACCTGCAATTGGACAGCATGATCGAGTGCCGCATCAAAACAGTTGAGGAGCACCTACGAAAAAGTTGTCAAAGTGCACCAAAGGGAATGGGATACAAGTTTACCCATCTTCTTCCTGTCCTACAGGGCATCCACTCACAACACTCTGGGCTTGACCCTAGCTAGCCTAGTGTTCAGAAGAGAAATCTGACTGTTCTGCAACCTGCTGTTTGGGGCACCTCTCGACAAGGAATGACCCACAATCGATTATGCAGCAAATTTAGTGGACCATCTACATGACATTCACAATATGCCTACCAACACCTGAAGCTGGCCTGTGATAGAATGAAAAATTATTACGACTGGCCAAATGCTACCATGAGGGTGACAATGGTTGGCTCTATCAGCCCATCTGCACAAAAGGGAAGTCACCCAAGCTTCAGTCCCCATACAGGGTAGTCACAGAGATATGAGTAAATGATGTGGTACACAGGATCCAGCAGAACTCCAGATTGAGGATAACTGTGGTATACCTGGACCAGCTCACACCTTACCAGGGAACTGCTCAGGACAAGTGACCTTAAGAAGGGAGCAGCAGGAGCATGAGAACACAGCCTGTAGGCTATTCAGGATGAATAGCCTTAAGGAGGGAGCGATGTGGCATGTGGACCTGCTGCTAGGCAATGGCAGTGAAATAAGCAGCAATACAACGCCAGTTTCTAGACAACAGGTTCATAACACACAATAATGGAGTAACTGGTAAGCGATGTTGCCTACATGGTCTGTGCGACAGCTATGTGATGTAACAATAGAAATGTTGAGAGAGGTGTTTTCTATGCGGTCTGTGCTAAGACTACATAATGAGAAGCTGTGAATAGAGGCAAGTCTTGAGATGGCAGTTAGAAGAGTAGGAGGTAAGTTGTGAGACAGTCACCAGCAAGTAAGGACATGAACATGGAAGCTGAGGAAGCTACAGCATTGGAAGCCATTATCATGTGACAACTGGTGAAGATACAGCAGTCTGAGAAGACTCTGTACAGGCTGTAGTGAACTAGCATTAGCTTTATAGTTACTTATAGTTACAATCTGTATGTGTTCAATAAATTCAAATACCAATCCAAACCTATCCATAGTAATTCAAGTCACATAAACAACATGATGGTTTCTTAATACAATTATGCACAATATTGTAGTTTTCGATCACGGTGGTCAAATAAGGCTGCCGATTTAGTCAAAGATCAAGCATAAGTTTTAAAAACATCTATTATATACTCAGATCACTAAAGAATTATTCACCTAACATTTATAAGACTCAGTAAGAAAAACTTTCTGTGGTATAAGTTGTGGTAAAATGTTTGTAAATGATTTGTGTGGGGTAAAATAGAAGATCAAAACAATTGATGCAATTTATTGCTTTCAAAGTAATTACCCTCATATAGAGTTTTCTCCAACCTATTATTTCATCCCTCTCTGTTCCAAATATTTTCCTCAGCTCCCTATTCTCAAATACCCAACCTGTGTTCTACCCTTAATGTTGGAAACCAAGTTTCCCACACAAAATTAAAGACAAAATTATAGTTTTGTATATTTTAATCCTTACATTTTTAGACAGCAAATGAAAAGACAAAAGGTTCTGAACTCAGTGGTATCAAGCATTACCCATGTTCTCAATTTTCTAATGAATCAAATTTTGATTTGTCGCTATCATTCTTAAACATGAACTTAGGACACATTTTCAAACAATTTATTAACTACCTTTATGGTAAGATTTTTCCCAGCATTCTGGTGACAAGACATTAACATAAACTTTCAAGTTTCTTCTTTGTGTCTATTTCTAGATCAACCAAAGAAATCTCTTGCCTTCTTCAGTGTATAAATATACCCTGAAGATGGAGGTATTATTTTTTTATTGCTAGTGGGGTGGGACTAAGCCACTCGTATTGTGGCCACCTCTGGCCTATTATACCAGCCCCAAATGATACGTGAGGGTGATTGTGGAGCAATTGGTGGAATGAAGATTGGCAGGGGAAACCGAAGTACTCGGAGAAAACCTGCCCCAGTGCCACTTTGTCCACCACAAATCCCACTTGACCAGACTAGGATCGATCTCGGGCCGCTGTGGTGGGAAGCCAGCGACTAACCGCTTGAGCTATGGTGTGAAGATGGAGGTAGCAGCTTCCTCTAAAATGTTGGTAACCATCCAAAAAAAAACTAGAAAGTGTCATGATCCAGAAGACCACAGTCTCAATGACAAATCATTGGTTCTTCTCAGTTCAAAATTTTGACTGTCTAATTCTCCCACTGGTGCCTTTATTTTGACTATAATATTTCTGTCCTTCACCGATAAAAAAACACGTTGTAGCATTCTGACTCACCGAGTTACCAAGAGTGACATCCTTCTTGGGGTACATCTTGTGCTGACTGCTGTGGTTTGTGTGATTGCTCCGGCTGATGTAGTAAGACCGGAAACCCAGTGGAGGGAGGTCTTTGGCATTGAACACCAGCTCCATGGTGGCAGGACTTATTCGGCCTGGCACTTCTAAGACAGGCTGTGGAATGGGCACCAGCTGGGTCTTAACTTGTTTCCCTGCTGGGTCCTGGATTGTGTAGGAAGCACCCGACACAGGAACACGCACATTACGTGATACTGGATGACTCAGTGGATTGTATACAGTAACTACAAAGTTACTGGAGTGCTCAGAGATGTCACATTGGCTAATGTTCAACAACAGGCAGGACTTCAGAGGGATAGCAGGTACTCCAGCAGGGCCAGGAGCCTCAGATTGCACTCTGTGTGCAATTAGTTTACTGAAAAAGAACACTGATGTGTTAACTAACACCATAATCAGTAACCTAGGAATCTTAAAAAAACGAGCATGATTATAAAGGTAAAACAGTCACTCTAAGAACAAGAATACTGTGACATAACGGCTGAAAGCCAGAGAAGTGGGAACATATTGATGCAGCCAATGCTATGCAACAATGCGGTGATTGTTTCTGTGATCTTTTGGCCATCCAGCTCACAGCTTCTTGATACATATTCTGAGCTATCCTAGTGCCTTTAAATTTCCTGTACACAATATAAATATTTATTTCAAACATATTCTGACTTGATGTTCATGGGCCCAAGCATCTGTGGGTAAAAGACTAGAACACAATTTAATGAGGTGGAAGTGAGATTTAATTCTCAAGCACCCTTCCATGCCTCATTTCTTCCTCAAAACACTTTTTCTTAATTTTTTTTCCCTTAAATATTTTCCTCCCACCTTCTTTAGGGGCCACTGTCTCCAACTGGCCTGTTTGAAGCCCCAGTTCCTTTCCATATATGACCCTTGCTTTCCTGCATGGATTCTGTTCTATCCTGCAGCTAGAGGCAGCAGAATCCTCCAAAATGTCTTTCTGCAGACTGCATGACAGAAGACAAAAATCTTCATATTCACCGATGTGAGAACCTTAGATCTTATAAAGTAATTTCCTTTCACGCAGATGCTAACAGTTACTGAAATACTCAGAGAAACGCTGTCCCAGTGCCACCTTGTTCACCACAAATCCCACATGACCTGACCTGCGATAAAACGTGGGCCACCATGGTGGGAACTGCCTGAGCTATGGCATAGCCATGCAGAGGCTAATAAGATCGAAAGACCTCCATGGAGAATTTCAATTTTTAAGCATACTACTTTCAGGCTGGGGGCACGGTGTAGCGTAGTGGTTAAGGCACTATGCTACAAGTTGGAAGGTCACGGGTTTTTTTCAATTGACCTAATCCTTCCGGCCGCACTATGGTCCTGGGATTCACTCAGCCTCTAAGAGAAATGAGTACCAGGAATTAAATAAATAATTTTCCTGGGGAGTAAAGCGCGGCTGGTGCGTAAAGCTGACAACCTTACTGCCATCTTTGAGCCGATTGTCTAGATAATGTGGGATCCTCAACGTCTCACAACCCTATGGGCCTTCATGGCCTGTTACAGGGATAGCTTTACTTACTTTCACTTTCAGGCTGATCTTAAAGGAAAAGTTTGTGAATGTAAGGAATGAACCCAGACAGGCTCCACTAATGGGTACATATGTGGTGGTGGTGGTGGTGATGATGATGGTGATCATGTACTTCAAGTTCCATTAGAGGGAATTCCTTTATCAGTTGAATAACAACTAATGATGACCCTGCAGCATGGAGTGTGTTACTTTAAAGCTTGAATAGGACAAATTTTTAGCCTGGGGGAATAACATGTAAGAGGTAGTAATTATTGGTTTCCACCATTTTCCATACATATACTTCCATTATTTTCATTGATCATCGATAAAAGGGAAAGGTAAGGGTACATTTGGCCGGTCACAGTAGCCGAGCGGTCTAAGGCATGCACTGTCTTCGCTTGCTCGGAAGCCGGGATCATGGGTTCGAATCCCACTCAGGGCATGGATGTTTGTGTGCGTTTTTCTGTGTTTGTCTACAGGTAGAGGCCTTGCGATGAGCTAATCACTCGCCCAAGGAGTCCTACCATATGTGTAAGATCTAGTAAACCGAAGTGAAACGGAGAGTTTCATGGAGGTAGGCCTAGGCCCAAATTGGGGCTGTAGGGCCACGGGGGAAAAAAAAAGGTACATTTGTGCCTGTGATTAATTAAGCATCACACCATGAACATGTAAGGTGTGAAGGTACAGAATTCTTAATCTCAATGTTAGAGGTAAGTGGTCAGTGTCAAAACCTGGACGCTTTATTCCTGAGCAGAGAGCCCCTATGTCTATAAAATATAAGTCTGTTTTAACAGTGAGCATTTTTCTACTTGGAGCAGCTCATAGGCAGAGAACTGCTTCCTGCATGCAACATTCTGAAAATTTCTAATTGCTTTCATTCATATTGTCACGTGTTGGGTGTATAACGTGACAAATAACTTCATGCCATATTGGATATAGCGAATGTATTGCACATTCGCTCTTACAATCTTACAATTACTGCCACTGGCAGTATCACAAATACTAGTCTGCAAGTTAACTGGTTACTCTCTCCATAGTAACTGGCTCAATACTCACTACTCACTACTAACTAACTCGGTGACTACGACAATTCAACTGTCTTAGGCGGCTGCTATATTTCAACTCAACTCCTGAATAGTGTTCGCTGCTACTTATTTAGCCTCGGTACAGATAACACAGAAAACAGTTACATAATAGGTACCGCTGTTGCCTGACGCCATGTTTACAGGTTGCCTAGCAACACTGTCGAGAGTTGTTTACTGCTCTGTAGCAACCATGGCATTCCTTGGTAACGTCACTGCGGGAGGGGGCAGGGTGTTGACTGGCCTATCACCGTAGCAGCGGCAATGCTCTGAAGGTGTTACATCACTGATGGTGGGGGAGGGGGTGTCCTGCATAGCGGAAATACGTCACAACATTATGCAGCACACGATCTTCCTAATGACCTTAACATTAAAATCCAGATAATTAATTCTGAAGTAATTATTAAATGTAACACTTCTTGGATCAGCAAACATTTTGTGTACCTCAGTAATATTAACATTTGCTTGTACCTCAGAGGAGCACAGCTATTATGACCACAAATAACTTCTGGAAGTAACTGTTGCAAAGAACAAAACTGTAGCAATATGCTCGTAATCCTCAAAAGGTTAAAAGGTTTATAGCTTTATGTTAAACATTTAAGGGGGCATGCAGTAGCATAGTTGGTTGAGGCACAATGCTACAAGTCAGAAGGTCGTGGGATCGAATCCTGATGAGGTCACTGAATTTTTCAATCCACCTAATCCTTCCAGCTGCACTATGGTGTTGGGGTCAACTCAGCCTACAACAGAAGTGAGTACCAGGAATATTCCTGGGGGTAATGGGCAGCTGGCACGTAAGGTTGACAACCTCACCGCCATCTGTAAGCCAACTGTCTAGAAAATGTGGGAGCCTCAATATCTCACAACTCTATAGGCCTGTTACTGGGATACCTTTAATTATACTTACTTATGTTAAACATTCAATACTTTCTTAAAGCAATTTGAGAACTAAAGTGAGACAGACAATCTCCACAGACTCAATTACGACCTTCCAATCACAAGGAACTGGAAATGAGTTGTCATGTTTGAAATAATTACTAATGCTGAAGTTCCTGGATCAACTTCCCTTTTCTTCTTGGCACAGCAGTAGTACTTTTCTGCAAATTTAAATCAGCACTGAGTTTAGGTGTAGATTCATTATGTAGTAGATGATCCTTCCACTGAAACTTTTATACCATGATGGGGTACATTTGGAGACAAAGCATCAGAAGACTTATTCATTATTATGAGTGCCCCTTTGCTAATGTAAGAAGTTCTTACTTGATGGCTGTTTCTGTAATGTTGCCACACTCGTGGAAGCCTTCATTCAGGATCCGGGCATAGTCAGACGCCACTTTCTGTCGTTCAGTGCCTGTGACAGCATCATGGTGCTGCATGATGCCCATTGCCTCTCGCATAACATTAAGGTTAACCTGATCTTCAGGTCCCAGGTCTGTCAGCGAGTGTAACTGCTTACACACCTGACAATGAGATAAACTGAGACTTAATACAGTGAATATATACACCCCTCTAGATTGAATGGAGTATGATGTGCAACATAAAGTTTTTCTTACCCTAATGCAAATCTCAACTAGTGACACATGTCATGTTTATTATGAAGACTGAGCAACTGCATCGTGGCAGTGTAACTACATCTGATATGAAGGAAAAGTTGTTAATAAAATTTTGTTAAAGTTTCATAGATAAATTTTTGTTTCATTCTGTGTGTTGTGAGTCAGGAACCACTGCAGTTGAGCTGCCTCTGAACACAAACAATATAAACTCTTTCAAATACGTGCACAACAAATAATATAAAATGAAATCATGGAAATAATTGTATATTTGTTGCATTCAAAATTAAACACAAGTTTTATAAAGTTTATAGAAATCAGATGCAGACTGAAGTTATAAAAAAGTGAAGGTGATTTGTAGTTTTTTAGTAACATGAAAAAAAAATGCCATATTGTTTGTATCACTGTTCTTCACTCTTAATATTTTTTTCATGTTTTATATTTAGATAGATATAATATTTTAAATCTTTAATATTTTTCTGCACCATATAATGGACAACTTCCATCATAAGGGCATGTGAAATCTGCTTGTCCATCATAACAAAATTCAAACTCCTTAAAACTAAACAATTGTACAAAACATAAACACAACACCATTAAAAAATGTCAGTAATTAAGATCCATAAATTTTGTTTTAAACATTTCTGATGTGTACATATTTACAAATTAGAAGACAGAGTTGTGTAAGCTAAGCTTCTATGTAGATCTGTCAACTGGTCATTTATCAGAATTTGTGTCTGAAATAAATGAGGAATAACGATGAAGTAACTAGGGGGTGAGGGGCTGAAAAGACCCTAAAAAAAGGTAAAGATATCCCTGTAACAGGCCATAGAGGCCCATAGGGTTGTGAGATGTTGAGGTTCCCACATTTTCTAGACAATTGACTCACAGATGGCGGCAACGTTGTCAGCCCTATCCGCAAGCCACCCTTTACCCCCAAGAATATTCCAAGAATATTCCTGGTACTCATTTCTGTTAGAGGCTGAGTCGACCCAGGGCCACAGTGCAGCCGGAAAGATTAGATCAATTGAAAAAATATCCAATGGCCTCATCAGGACTTGAACCCGTGACCTTCCGACTTGTACCACAGTGCCTCAACCAACTATGCTACCGCGTACCCAGGCTGAGAACGCCATATTTAGAAAATGTTTATATTCCAAATTCAAGTACATATTTCCATTCTTGTTCATCACTGTTAGATGCCGTTCTCCTTTCCTGCAAATCCTGTCCCGTATGTGCACTGGTTCATTTTGAGGAGCCCACTAAATTTGTTATAACAGTTTCAAAGAAATTATATTAAGAACTAATTGCAAAAGAACATGTAATACCTGTAGAAAGTTATTGCCAAGCCGTTCAAAGCGTTTAAGTGTTGGCCGTGATGTGAAGAACCCTGTCCAGTAAGAGTGAGGATCACTTGCATACGGAAAGAAGTCATCATGCTTGGTTGTCCAAGTTTGTCCAGCATCATGAACTGCTTTGAGATAACAGGATGGTGTTGAATAGAACACATTCACACTGTTATTTTTTATCTGCTCAGCATTCACATACCTGCAGACATAAGCAACATTCTTTAATACTAAAATCTTAATACTCAAAACTTTATTACTCAATTCAAAATCTGCTATTATCAAATAATTTATCACCTGTTTGTATTGTTCTGAAACATGACCTCTTATTTTGAGTGAAATATACACACTGCAAGTATCTTAACACAATGAGCTTAGTTAAATATCTTGATCTAAAAGAGATAACATGAGTGGAGTATAAAAGATAATAGACACAAAAAAAAACTTCAAACATACCCTACATACAGACCACACTGATTCTGGAGGTGATATTCTGTACTTGAGCAGTCAAACATCTACCACATCAGAGTTTCAGATAAGGTTACCATCTTACCGAATGAGTTTGTCCAAGTTTTTGAACCACATATTGGCATCCTGATAATTGAAATCTTCACCCATGGTCATAATGATGTTGTTGGTTGAGTAATTTCCAGCTTGACTTTTAGCATAATCTATGAATTTCTGCACCTGCAGATGGCAAGTAAAATATATAGAACAGACATGTAACATGCCATGCCTGCATACTGGTACTCAAGAGCAAAGTAAGCACTTCCCCTTTTTTACTTATCATATTGTGGCATATTTGATCAAGGCGTTGCCAGGCAACAGCTCTGTAAACACGATATGCGCCTGCAACAGTATAACAAGCTGTTTTTTTTGTGTGTCCAGCCTTTGGCATAGGATCAGTGATGTCACACATCAACAGCACATGGCTGTCATATGACACGTTTCTTGTGTGTCCATCGCCTTACAGATGTGTGGTGACCTCACACAGCAACAGTGAGTAGGGGTCAGGTGATATGTGTTTACTGTTGGTTGATGTCAGTCCTTTAGCTATAAGTGAGTCAGAGTTCTGAGTGGGTCAGAGAGAGAGAAATAGTACCGGTGGAATCATGCAAACGTAGCAAATTGGAACCAGAAGTAGAGAAGAATACAGGAGGTTGGCCTGTGAGGATTTAAAGTGTGATTGGAAGATTTTATGTGTAACATCTGTAGTGATTTGAAGTGAGTTTCTGTGTTGGGATCCATTGCTAGGAGATGACTAGTGGAAACGAGAATCCTAGTGTGTGTGCAACAGTGAACTGGAAAGTTTGTAAATCAGCGATAGCGCTGTATTGCCTTTATTTAAGTGAAATTAAGAGATAATTTGTAACTGAAGTGCTAATAAATCAGATCATCTGAACTAGAATCCATTCTTTTCATCATGCATACCACCATACACATAGCAATATGTAGCAAACTCCAGTAATTGAAAGATTGTTTTAACTGTGTTTTGATATTGGCTGAAGTATGTTTCATGAGGCAGATTACAAATCACACCCTTCTGATCACAGGAAAAAATAAATTACAGTTGGAGATGAATAGGATTCCCCAAATCATAAAATATCAATCAAAAGGAAAGAAATCACCTTTGGAAGACCTTATACAATTTCCACACAGACAGCCTATGCCTAATACATGGAATGTTGACAATGAGGTCTTAAAATAATTTTTCTACAAACTGCTTTCCAACATACATGTGATCTGGTACTCATAATACTTCAATTATAGCAATGGGTACAGATGAAAGGTAAAGCTACCCGAAGTACACCATGTAGGGAATGTAGGGGGCAGGGAGCAAATCAAAGGAATCAGGGCCACAAAGTTCTCCCCAAAACGTATCATTTACTTTCAAAACATGATCGCAAATATCAAAGATGTTATGATGGATTGGACATACATATAACTCATGGGAGAATCAAAAAATGTAAAATTTTCCCAGGAAAAACTACTTTGAAAATCTACAAGGAGGTGAGAAATTAATATTAAAATTAATCTTGGGGAATAGTTTATGAAGATGATATCTGGACAAGTCCATATCCAATGCAAGGCTTTGGTATTAGCAATTCTGATTCTTCCATATTTGCTACCAGACAGCATGATCAAATTACATGAACACAAATTCAAAGGAACATTTTGGCCAATGTACGTCACTCTTGAGTAGCAGTATTCAAGCAATGGATCAGTATAGAGACCCAAGTGTTTACCTGACAAGCTTATCCAAATTCTTATACCACATGTGAGCTTCCTGGTATGTGAAATCTCCACCCATTGTCAGCAAAATATTGTTTGTAGAGTAGAAATTTGCCTGTGTCTTGACATAGTCTACAAACCTCGATACCTGAAGCATTATAGTTCACTGGTTTAGCAATTGCATTTTGCTCACAAACAAAATTTACATGATATCACATGAAAGTGTCCATGTTCACAAATCCTCTTTTTAATTGTCAGATTATATAATTAAGACATACCAATTTGTTCACATTGTAGTCTGGACTATGTTTATCATCAATGAATGGGTCATCATCACAGAGGACATCAAAACAAAAGCCAGGAGGGGGAGAGTAATTATTGTACAGAACACTTGTGAAGAGCTGGGTAGCTTTACCTGTAATATAACAGAAAACAGTTTTCAGGTTACTAGTACATCCACACATCTGGCACTGGAATTGTTTATTTGTTTTCTCAAGTGTAGTTGACAACATTTCTCAAATGCGCACACTACAGTTTCAGAGAACACTGACTTAAGTAGGACTGAGACTTCTAGTTTAAGATTCTATCCACAAGAGTGGACCAACAGGAAACAACTGTGAAAATCTCAGTCAGTGCAATGGCCAAGATTTATATCTACCACACATGAAGCAGGAACACAACATATTAAAATAAACTATTAAATTAGAAGTTCCTAATGAGGGATGTGTGCAGAGTCTGGTCAACATCCACCTCTAATCAAGTGAGCCTGAAGAGCTAGACTCAAATACTGGTCACAGGACTTGCCAAACAAGTATCATCATGTCTGACAGTACCTTCGGTCAAGCACAGGCGAATAACCTCAACACTGGCTGCCTGAGTTTAATGAACCCTGACTAAATGGAAATTCTGTAAGTGCCTAAGTGTCCCACTTACAACACTTACAATGTCACTGTAAAATCCCACGGATAACAATAACCTTTATTTCACAACAACTTTCCAATCCTAGAGAGAAGAAAAGTAACCATAGGAAGGGCTGCCCATTGTGTAATTCAAAGACCCAGCAGCTCTTCCTCAAATTTTTCTAGGGTAGCAGCTGAATACACGTACATCACAACAGCAAGATGTCCTAAACAAAGGGTTGGATTCTCCAATAAGAACAATGCCTTAGTCTATGCATCTAAAAGTTAACATACATCCACAGTGAGACCGGACCCACTCTTAATGGGTTTGATATAGTAATGCAATCAAAAGGATGGATGGAGCTCTCAAAGATACCAGTCACACAGACACATAAAAATACCCACACTGAGTCACCCATCAAACTCTGATACCTATAGATGTGGCATTAGAACATATGCCATACTACTGTAAATGAATATAGAAGTGAATCACTAAGTGCTAAATCTGTGGAAGTGAGCTAGGAATACTGAATGAATACAGTTTAGTAAAGTGTACTTACTCAGGACAAGGAATAATTTTCATCTCGCCTATGCCTAAACCACACACAGCTGAATCCTGATATTGACCCCATATATCACTATGGCTCACACAAACCTGTTGTACTGCAGGTAGTCTAAATCCATAACTAACTAGGCTCTGAAGCATACTGTAGCCACAACTGAAGTCAATCATCAAATATTCATCACTAGTTCATTTCAGCAATAAGCACACATCCAAATGCATGTGAGGAAGGCACATGTAAGGTGGATCAACTTAAGCACGATAAGTATACCCTATTTCATATATTTTTAACGAAGTTAAGCTCGAAGAATGCTGTTTTCTAGGATGTTGCACCACATCCCAGAAGATGGCATTCTTCATAGTCACTGCTGTGAAAACCTCAAATCTTACAAAATAAATCCCTATCTCAAATATTGTACCAAGCTTTCAAATCTTCAATTATATTTATCTAGAAGTGGATATGAACAGTGTAAGACCTTACCCAAATTTTCACTCCCCTGCCAGACCATTTCTGCAGTCTTACTTGCAAGGCGAGTCAATTTGTCTTGATAATCCAAGCGACCAAATAACAGACCATCAAAACCCATTCTGGCAAAGATGGATGCCATTTCCCGGGAATGGCCAAATGGGTCAATCTGCCACCCAATATGTGGCTGCCCACACTTCCCAAATGTGTCATTCAGCTTCCTGAAAGGCAGCTAAAATTATTTCTTGAACACAAATGCATTCCAACAAATAAACAAAAATAAGAACAAGTAAATAACAGATCAGCCTCGCCACAAATAAATTTTTGAACTACCTAACTCTTTCACTGTATGAAAATAATACAATATTATATTTACTACTGTACAAATGTCAAACACTACATTTATTAATCTCACAACACTTCATAAAATGTACAATATAAATTCACTGAACCAAATAAATTCCCATGAAATAAAGAAAAACTGTGGTTTTTGTCCACAAACGAACTATACCGACCGAGCGACTGCCACTTGTCAGGGAAGTTAGTGCCAACTGAAATACATTTGTAAATAGTGACCTGCACAAATTACAATTTAATAAGCATACAAATATATGCCAAGGGATGTCAGGGGGCCATTATTTCTTTGTAAAATTTCATATATTTCCATTACCTGAAAGCTCCGTTAAATAATGTCAACACTTTAACTCTGTGTCAAAGAAAAATATTTTATGTAACATTTTCAGGTACATTTATAAACTATTTCCATATAAAATGTTCTATACCAGCAGTCTCAGATGAAGCCTGCTAATTGTCTCTGAGATTTTAAAAAATCATGGATCACAGATCCAGATTAATGCTATTTAGCTTAATGCTTGATAGCACTGCCAAAGTTTCACTTCCTTGTAATGACCTAGGGGATTCATTCTTGTCATGACTAATAATAGGAGATTAGATATTTAAGTGCCATAAAACTGGAATATTCCGAATCAGGATTTAACCTGCACATAAAATTATGATTCTTCAGGATGGGACAGCATCCCATAGTTATAAGAACACTGAAAGCCAAGGCTCTCATAAAAGACAAGGCTGAAATGATTGACAGTTATAGAGAACAAAGAGAAACTTATGAAAATAGTGATACTCCAAAAATGAAGAAGAAGCTACAGTGTTTCATTATTCATGAATACTGACTGAAAACTAAATGCGACTCCATTAATCCAAAGACAACTTTGTGCAGGTGGCAAACTTCAACTTTGGGATAAAGTGTGCTGGCAGCACTGACCTGAAGCCCCAGGTGAGTTGGTCAATAATGGATTGGTAGTTGGTGACCGCCTCATCATTCATGCTCCAGCCACCACCAATGAACTCAAGCTGACCACTGTTAACCAATTTCTTGACTTGGTGGCGCACAGTATCATGCTGTTTCATCCACCATTTCCACCAGAAAGCAGTCTCCACATATATGAACCTGACATAAAACAGTTATTGCTGTTTAATTAATAAGAGTGTAATATGTCAATATGTTTATGACATTCTAACCCAAGTAGTCAGAATCTGACAACATGAACTTCTTGTTCTCTACCAAGTGTCTAACATATTTACTAGTTACACACAAAATAACTGTTACCACTCTTGAGGTGTACCAGAAAACTTACCAAAAATTACACATGTACTGAAGAACTATTATGTTTCAATCTTAAGGTTAAAACTAAGGATCAGAGTGCCAGCATAGACGTTTTAGGAAAAGGTGCTGTGTATGTGCTTGTGTGCGCACAACCCCCCCCTCCCAAACACACACACACACACACACACAAAGTTTGGTTATTCTGATATCCCATCTTGATACTGTAAAGGATATTGGCTTTACTTACCCGTGTGCCTGAAAAAGAAAGTACATTTCAGAATGGCCTCATTTCACTGGTATAATGCCAGAAGGTTCAGCGCATTTTCACTGCACTTGCATTTCTGAACATTTATACACATTCATTGCCTATGAATATGAACCTTATACTGTAGATTAAAACTGGACAGCAAATTATATGAGTGTTCAAACTAGAAACAGCAAACCAATCTAACTGCTGTGTTGTCTATGGAACATGGCAATTAGATTAGTTTGATCATGCAACAGTTAAAGTTAAAGTTAAAGATAGAAATAGTGATTTTGCAGATAATGGCGCCGACCACTCTTTTCTTCGGCACTACCATTCAAAATAAGTCATATACCATAAAATTAAATACACTGTTCACGATTTTTTTCTGTCAAAACCAACAGATACAGTAGTTCATGCAGTACACTTTTCAGCATTACCAATGGAAATGTCAAGTCTCCTCAGTTTTGTTATTCACTGACTTTGAGATGTGGGTGATGTTTGTGAGGCACAGATACAAAAGAATAAAGGAAGTAATGATAACAATACACTCTGCCTACATTTCCAATAGGTTTTCTAATTATGAATACCAGAAAAATGAATAAAAACTGGATCAGTATACGAGGGGGGACCCAAAAATAACCGGAAATGACCTGTTGCGCGCGCATGCTTTGTAGTTACGAGTTGTGCTGCTAGGTGGTGTTAGCTTGGGGTCTCCCGCGACTGTTAGTGAGCTGGCATCAGTCTGAGTTAAGTGGTTTGTCTGTGGTGCTCTGTTGTGTGCGTTCCTGTTTCAACCCTTCGGCGATTAGTGAGATGGCCGACCAGAAGGAACAAAGAGTGTGCGTGAAATTGATGAAGATCGTTGAAAGACCACTGACCAACTTTCTGAGGAAACGAACATCTCATGGAGCACGGTCTAGCGAATTTTAACCGAAGGTTTGCACATGAGACGGGTGTCTGCAAAATTTGTTCCTCGCTTGCTCGGAGATGACCAAAGAGAAAACCGCGTAAATGTTTGCCGCGACTTGAAGAGTGAAGTGCAGTTTTCCCTAACAGAAAGCAAAATTTCACGCACACTCTTTGTTCCTTCTGGTCGGCCATCTCACTAATCGCCCAAGGGTTGAAACAGGAACGCACACAACAGAGCACCACAGACAAACCACTTAATTCAGACTGACGCCAGCTCACTAACAGTCGCAGGAGACCCCCAGCTAACACCACCTAGCAGCACAACTTGTAACTACAAAGCATGCGCGCGCAACAGGTCGTTTCCAGTTATTTTTGGGTCCCCCTTCGTATATGGAGTGTTCACTGCACAGGCTTATTAGACATCCACAGAGCTTTCTGTACATCATCATGGCACACACTGTGGGAGTGGCCGACAAACTGAAGGGCATTTATTCGGTGATCACCTGATCAGTGAGTCAGTCAGTGTCAGTCATTGTCATGTTATCACATCAAGTGTTATAGAAGCTTCTTTGTATAGTGCTCTGTTCTATGTCTTTATGGCTTATGTGGGATACAATTTAGAATAAAGAATTGTTGTTTATTACAGTTATGTGAAAAAAAAAACTCATACAAATCAAGCAGGAGAAAATTTCGCTGTAAATTTCCCGAAACAACATGTCCATCTGGAGATACAAATTCCAATTCAGTGAAGAAAGTTCGAACCCACAGCAATTTAATTGACAAAAGCTGTTAAAAAGAAATCATGTTTTAACTGAGGAAGAACTTGTTGACATCAGTCATCAATTAGAAAATTCTCCTTGAAAATCTGAGGTAATTAGCACAACAAAGTGGTGTTTCTGTAGGCAGTTAGTGGACAGCAACTGAACTGTTGCATATTTGTCTGTATAAAATTATTGTTGTTCCTGAAATTAAACCTGTGGATTATGAAAAAAGAGTGAGGTTTTGTAATTGGTTTATCAGTCATGTGCATGATTTGTGGCCCCCTAGATCTCCAGATTTAAACCCCTGTGATTTTTATTTGTGGGGAAAACTCGAAAGTGTTCTGTATGCCAACAATCCACATGACCTGGTGGCTCTAAAACAGAATATTCGTGAAGCAATTTACAGCATTTAGCAAGTCTTGCAACAACTTTCCCGAAATCTGTTTAAAAGAATTCAGACATGTCTCACAGAAGAGGGTAGACATTTTGAACATCTTCCATGATGGTGAGTACAATATCAATTATTATATTTGATTAATAATTAATAGAAGAAGTAGACAGTGTCTCCTATCAGTTCCACCTGCATGGCAGCATTTTTCTCGGCAAGTGGCACAGCACCTTCACAGGAAGTTGCCAACAGTAGTAACTTAAGTATACATATATGTGAAGACTGCACCAAAAACACATACACAGGAAAAAACGACATACAAAAACTATAATATCTAAAAGTTTGTGACGATGGTAAATTGTTACAATTAATATGTTGTTGGACAATATCCATCATCTTGTCTGTTCTTAAAAAAACGGTCCTGTTCTCTGTTTTTAAAAAAAGGACGTTTTTTTAAGAATAGACAAGATGATGGATAATGCCCAACAACATATTAATTGTATACAAAAACTATGATGGTCAAAAAAAGAATACAATGACAGTATTCTAGATATGATATACAATAACAAGACGACAACATGCATGGGAGTACGAAAGACAAGAGGACAGTGCAGTGGTCTCCTCACAAATTAAAAGTTGCCTGATGATGGCCCACATGCAGCTGAAACTTGATGCAAAGTTGGAAAAACATTATGTAAAACAAAAAGACATTTGAAGTATTTTGATAGTCACTTTTAGATATACTTGCAGTGTCTTAATGACATTTTATGATATTTAATAACACTTTAAAGTATTGAAGTTACACTTTTAGTAGCGGCCTCTGTAGCCTAGAGGTAACGTTCCCACCTCAAGACTTGTGGTACACGGATTCAAACCCGGCGGAGGTCGTGGAATTTTTAAGGGCGGAAAAATTCAGGGAACAAGTCCTCCAGGAGGGACTTTAAGCCGTGGGTCCCATGTTGTAGCTTTACGGCACGTAAAAGAACCTCATATCTCCTAAGGAGGTCACTGAGCCAAATTCAAGGAAATTTCCTGCCCAACAGTAGTCTCTAATGCCTCTGATAGATGGGGGATGCATTATAGATACCGCCAAGCCAGTAAAGGCCGAACTCGCTGGCTCGGTCGGGACTGATGGTAAGCACCAGTATCAGTAGGATATAGAGACTGGTAGAATATCATAGAGGGAAGCACAATAGATCAAACTGGTCGCGGTGCATGGGGAAACCCACCCTCTCCAATAACTAACTAACTAACTAACTAACTAACTAACTAACTAACTACACTTTTAGTGAAAAAAATATATATTTTAGGTGTCCTTTATATCATTGTTGCATTATTGATGTACTTGAATAATAAGCATGATACCTCAATGCAGCAGGATGCTCACATATAATATTATATAATATGCACAGAATGAAAAACCAAGACACTTATGTGCAAAGTCAGGTCATTGTCCAAAGGTCTCTGTGTCTGTTAGGATTCTCAAGCATCTCAATTCAGAGCCTGGGCTCTGAAGAGAAAGAAACTGAATCAAAACCACTTATATCTTAAAAATATTTGATACTGAATGTTGCAGTCAAGTGGGTTTCATACTCAGGAAGTCGTGGATTTAAATGTCAGTAGGAAACCAGTTATCCTAACTAAGGAGTTCTATGCTTTTCTTCAGTACCTCCTGGAAAATGTTGGGGTTCTGCCCCAAAGTAGGATACAACCAGTTCTTCCACTCCTTTCAATTATTTATTCACTAATCATCCAACCATTCAACCTTTTAAAGTCTAAGACACTGATGTATTGTTAAATGAACCAAATATAAATAAATATAGGAATCCCTGAAAATACATTCTTTTAACTTCACTACACTTCAAGGCACAGGGTCACAAAACACAGAGTATATACTGTGTGTTTATATACTCAACCATACACACATGCAAACACATACATATTGCTTTATACATAAAAACACATTCATAGTGTGTGCTTGTGTGCGTGCATGCATGTGGAGAAGCATTTGTGCACATGCTTCATCACTTTAAATGCACAGACATGAATTTACCTTTTCTGTGGGTCATGAAAAAGTTCCTTCAGCACTGAATCTATTATATACTGTACTCCAGCCTTCTGAATGTTGGATTTACCTACAAAAATGATGTTCATATTAAAACTCAAATCTTCATAATTTCACTTCATTAACAGTATGTTTAAACAACATAATATCCAATAAATCTTTATTCACTTGTTCATCAGACATTCTGACTGTAATTCCAAGCAGCAAAATGCAGGGCATGCTGGCAAGGTAACCGACATATACATAAATCTAACTGATAAGACAATGTCACAATTCCCAGGGTACATAACTCTCTCTCATAATTAATTATCTATACACTATTTAATGATCCTGCCTTAATTGGATACATTACTCACCTCCATCTAGTCCTGAGGTCAAGAATGGTGGAGCTATACAGCCATGACCCCATATGTCTTCATGGCATGGTGCTTAACTAAATATACATGCTACCAACAATGAAAATTTGTTTTTGGCAAAGTTCGAGACTGCAATACTGACTGAAGCATCGGTGTATCTTATTGCCAACTTCTGGTCCTATCTGTAGCTATTACTAACAATTACTTCTACATAAGGGTGGAATGAAGACAGAACTGCAAGCCTTACACTTCTATACATATATATGAAAACTGTATCGCCTTTGTGACATTTAAGATTCCTGCAGCGTGACAATGAAAATTAGTGCCTTCTAGGATTTGATATTGTGTAGTTTGCTACGCGAGTACCAATGTTTCAGAGGACCTGCCATTTCAAACTAAAGTTGGATGGTGTCATATCCAAAATGATGAACTGCTGAACAGTGCCATGACCCTTGAGAACTTAACAACCCCAAAGGTGAGATGTGCTGTAACTTACTGCCATAGTAATACTGATCCACAGTCTTCAGCCAGCCAACATCATTATGAGTATGGGGTACCAAATGCACATTCAGCTTCCCAGGCTGTGGCTTTGGGCAAGACTGCAACAGAACAACAACATATCAAGTGCTGCAGTTATGTAGTAATGAATTAACTGAGGTGAAATTTTAAGATGGTAAGGATGCAGGGGAAAGCAATCATGTCCCATTTCAAAGTGTTCTATGGGAAACATCAGGTCAAACCTAAAGGAAGAAACAAATGGAAACATTCAGTTGATCTGGCTCAGATTAAAATGGGGTCAACTCCTTACACAAATGTGGCATAAATGCTTGATGCTTCTCCTACTCTCAACACCGTTTTTCTTCAATGGGTTAATATATAAAAAGTCTCCAAGGCTAAATTTATATATCACAGCATGAAATTCAGTAATTATTACAGAAATACAAAAGTAGAAAGGTGCCTTGCTGTAGTCTAGAATATAGTGTCTCTGTACACAGAGACTGGTTGGTTAATTTTACTTTACACAGTTTATAATAGAGTTATATTACTATAAAATGTTTATCAACTCCATCCAGTGTGACTGATAAAGTGTTTTTTCTTTCTTTCCTTTTTAATCTTTCATCCTTAACAAGTTTCGGTCTTAAGAGACCATCTTCAGAAGGATATATCAATACGGGCGGAAACTACTTGTACAAATATAAATCACTCCGTCCAATGTGACCTGTAAGTTTATTACTACATGAAAACTCAACACCCTTACATGTTTCGGTCTCTGCGGACCATCTTCAGAGGGCAAACATCACTACAAATAGGAAACCACCATCACATAAGTTGTTTAGACGTAAAGTACGTACAGTTATATGCTACAATGCACAGTACACAAAATAGAACATTTCACAAACACAGCAGCGTTTCATCAATCATTGCAAGATCTGCGTGGAAACATCAGACCATTTGGGAACGCATTAATATTGCTTGCAGGAGATTTCAGGCAAACATTACCTGTAATTCCTCGATCGACACCAGCGGACGAAACAAATGCTTGCCTGAAATACTCTACTTTGTGGCGACACGTAAAGACATTAAAATTAACTATAAATATGCGTGTCCAGCTGCAAAACGATCGATCAGCTGAGATATTCTCACATCAATTGCTGGAAATTGGGAACGGAAAGGTGCCGGCTGATCTGACCTCAGGACGAATTTCATTGCCTCATAACTTCTGCAATTTAGTGACGTCAAAAGAAGAATTGGTTGAAAAAGTATTTCCCAATATTCAAACCAATTATAAGAATCACGATTGGCTGAGTGAACGAGCTATTCTTGCGGCCAAGAACAAAGACGTCTACGAACTTAACAATACCATTCAGTCTAACATTCACTGTGAGGCAGTCATATACAAGTCCGTTGACACTGTTGTGGAAGCAGATGAAGCAGTTAATTATGCAACAGAATTTTTCAATTCACTCGATCTGCCACAGCAACGCATGGCCGGGTATATTTGTGAAGCCTCTTCTACCTTCAGACAAGCACTGACTTAGCCCTTTTATGGTCAAAGAACAAATGACCTCATTACCAGAAACCACCATTGTTCTAACCTGTTCTAAATCTGTGAGTGTGGGGCGCAAGAGTTAAAAACTGTGATTAAGTTTCTCGAACAAATCTGAATGAGACAAGACTGGAGTAGTCTCTGCACACACCTAACATTATCTCTGCAGACCAAAACTGTCCATAAAATTCTATGTTTATGGCCACCTACTAAGAAGGAAACTTTGAGCAAATCAGCCATAACCGCTCTCTTTCCCACGAACAACCCCATTTTCAGTAAAAAGACTGCAACAGTGAGCTAACTACATCCAATGTTAAAGAGACACTACAAAATTTATATCTGTGTTGGATTCTACAGTCATGAAGAGACAATTTAAACCCCATTAATCATTTAATGTAACTGTGATCATGGCATGGCCTCTCCTTAGGCTGCAAATGAAGGAGATGATCTTCACCTAAGTTTAAACAGTCTTTCCAGTCAACTTAAGTCTGTAGTCAAGTACTGTTTATGGAAACTGTTAAGTTTCCACTGTAGAATATCCATACTGAATAACCAAGAGAGGAAACAATGACATAAAAGGATAACTATTGCACTTTAATGGGAGATAATTTAAATCTTCCTCTGTGTTTCCCATTCAGTGTCAAAATGAAATGCAACCCAATGTGTTAGGCAGTGACTTACTGCATTCAGGTATGTTTGACATTTGAAGCCTAGCACCAGGATGCCAAGACTGGGACAAGTTCTTCAATATTAGTGGTTTTACGTGTGAGCTATGAAATGGTCCAAAGTCTACTGCAGGGGTATTAATGGTGTGTATTGGTAACTAATATGGGCATGTCTTATCACTGGGTGCAGAGGAATGAGAGATATCTTCGGTCTCCACAACCTGAGTTGTGACCTTAACACTTGATGGGGTGGTAAGCAGAATATTGTCTTAGCAGGTGGGGACTGCTATTGCCTGGGTGCCTGTCTCACTTCCTTGAAACCAGTAAAGAATGAAGAAAGCCATCTTCTGGGATGTGGCACCTGTAGAAATTGTGTTAACCGACGTTTCGGAGGAACGTATCGCCTCCATCTTTAGGGTAGAAGACAAGAAGAAATCTGCAAGCGAACCAGCAGAGCAGGTGCAACAGACTGAATCCAGTAGAGTAAACACAGCTGTATAAGATAAGGAGAGAACGAGTGTGGCTACATAGGGAAATAATAGTGAGGGGGAGAGAACGGAAGATTAAATGGAGGACATTAACCCTGTAGGTCGGGGGCTGCGATGGACCTGAGTGGCCTATAGGGTCCGCCATATTTCGGAGGTTACTTGAGGGATCAGATGAGAGGCTTCCATGACTTGCTGAGACAAAACCCCACCTCTGTTCATATTGTCGGGATGGAGTTCAATCTCAATGGCCTCCCTAGTGATGTGATCCATATAACGGGTCTTGGTAGAAAGGATGGAGGTATTCTGAAGCTGAATGCCGTGTCCCAAATCGATGCTGTGTTCAGCCACAGATGACTTGTCTGGATGTTCGAGACGGATGTGCCACTGATGCTCCTTCAACCTCGTGTCCACAGAACGGCCTGTCTGCCCAATACACATACTCCATACCAGCTCTGGCCCACTACCTGCTGGCTATTCCACCAGACCCTTCCCCTCTCCCTCTCTACTATTTCCCTATGTAGCCACACTCCTTCTCTCCTTCTTTATACACGTACAGCTGTGTTTACTTGACTGGACTCAGTTTGTTGCACCTGCTCTGCTGGTTCGCTCGTGGATTTCTTCTCGTCTTCTACCCTCAAGATGAAGGCGATACGTTCCTCCGAAACGTCGGTTAACACAATTTCTACAAGGCACCACATCCCAGACGACGGCTTTCTTCATAGTCACCGCTGTGAAAACCTCAAATCTTACACAGTAAAGAATGGTTGAACAGGATAGAGTCCCTGTCCTTGCCCTACTCTCAACAAACTTTTATTGTACCTCCAGGAAACAGAGGCCCTCCTTGTTTCAAAGTTCTCGGCTGGCCCTCTCACCCATATGCACAAATCAGGAACTGTCATTGAAATAGCTTAGTTGCAGTTCTCACAGTGAGGAGGGTGTGGACATGAAGCTTCACCATGGCCACTCTCACAACTGCCACATGCCATGCGAGATCCACATCTCTGCTGGCTATGATTGGAAGCATCTCAATGGTTTCAGAATTAACAGGTGTACAACTGCCATTTCATACCCAACTTTGATGGTGATAGGCTGAGTAGGAACTTCAAATGTTAAGACGACAATGGGAAGAGGAAATGGTGTCCCACCCCTCTTCTGGATATGTCTGTATGATTCTGGCACAGAGAAGTTGAAAATTGTTGTGAAAATTAATATTTTCCTATTTCCTCTCTATCACTGTATCAAAATGGCATTTACTACACTGGTATTAAAATTGTTAAGAGTTCCTTAAGAAGATCTCAGGTGTTGCACTGTTTTTACAAACTGAAGAATTTTATTGTATAAATGGTTAATAAGTTTTTCATTTGGGGCACACGGTAGCGTAATTGGTTGAGGCACTATGCTACAAGTTGGAAGGTTCAAGTCCCGATGAGGTAATAGGATTTTTTTCAATTGGCCTAACTCTTCCAGCCGCACTATGGCCCTGGGGTCAACCCAGCCTCAAACAGAAATGAGTACCAGGAATATTCTTGGAATTTTCTTGGGGGGTAAAGGGCGGCCAGCATGTAGGGCTGACAACCTTGCTGCCATCTATGAGCCAATTGTCTAGAAAATATGGCAAACTCAACATCTCACAACCCTATGGGCCTCCATGGCCTGTTACAGGGATACCTTTACTTACTTAACTTTATTTTTATGTTTCTCATTTGCATTAAATTTTTTGTAATCATATTCATTTATGTTCTGTCTGTGTTATGTATATTTCATATTATGTTACCTAAGACTTGTGCCAATGATTAACTGGAACATTTGTTCTGATACGTGACACATTCCATATCCAAGGGTTTGTGAATCTACTTCTCAACCTTTATCTGGATCTACTTGAATTTGAAATAAAAGAACAAGAACAAGAAAAAGGGCAGTCTGAATCTCCTCATTGGTCATCTAATTCAACAAGTCAGGATTTACAGTTCCCAAGGACAAGTTCAGAGATATCATGCTTGATCTGGAAGGGGTACAATTTGAGAAATTCAGCTTTCTCTGAAGACCTGTACCAAGAGTGTGCTGTTCATAAATTGGAATGCATTCTTTACAATACCTGCAATCGCACTGAAAGCCTCTTGTATCTAGAAAGAGTTGATCTGTCACATGGTCTTTCTGGTACTACTGAATTTGGAAGTTGTATAATGTGGTGCCAGCATTTCAAGGTTTGCGCTTGTTATATTACTTGCCTTATTTTCTAGATGGCTGTGATGCTAAAGATTTTAGGTGTAAGTATGACATTTTCAAAAGGCATCCGCTTCAGAACCAGTGGCATAAACTTGCATAAATGAGCTAGGGGCCTGGAACTCCTGCTGCTATAAGAGTTGGGATTTTGTTGTCCAGATAACAAATATACATAAACACACATCATAATACCTCTCATCTAACAATTTTTTCCCCACTGTATGTGTTCAGGCAGAATGTCATGGCACTTAATTAAGCACAGGAACAACTTTACATTTTTACTTGTAAATATGTTACATTTTGACATAATGCTGAGACCTCTTTCCTGTATCAGGTACAAAGATCCAACAACTAGTCGACAGAGTAATAATGCCCTCCCTTAATTTCTGTTTTCTGTTTGTTCCATCATGCAGCATACCAGCCACTTCAATCAACAAAATCACCAAGAACCTGAATTCCTAAATAGCAATGAACTTGAACTCTATTTCACTATTCATAATCATTTTCACATCTCTCCTTTAACCGTACTTAATCCGTGAAAATGTCAGTTTCTTTATATACATAATTTCTCCACCTTTTAAATCGACAGCTGTTCAACCTACCTTGCTGGGCCGCACCATAGCTCAAGCGGTTAGTCACTGGCTTCCCACCGCGGCGGCCCGGGTTCGATCCCAGGGTCTGGTCAAGTGGGATTTGTGGTGGCCAAAGTGGCGCTGGGGTAGGTTTTCTCCGAGTACTTCGGTTTCCCCTGCCAATCTTCATTCCACCAATTGCTCCACAAACACCCTCACCTATCATTTGCAGCTGGTACAATAGGCCAGAGGTGGCCGCAGTACAAGGGACTTAGTCCCACCCCACTAGCAACAAAAAAAAAAAATATATTATTGTTTACAAACCTGATATCCACAGTTTTGGTGGTCCGCAATTTCATGTCCTCGGTATGTCCTGGTAGTGGATGTCGGTATCGTGTACACATAAGGTATCAGCAAGAACAATGCAACTGCCCGATATAACCACCCCATACTTTTACTACAATACATAGCGATACAAAGTACCTACAAAACATACATTTCCTCGAAAGCCCGAACCGCTCGAACTCACCACTTGATCAAACTCATCAAACTGGCTATTGTACGCGACACGGATCGGCAAAGAGAGTAAACAGACAGTGGCATGACGCATTGTAGTTACGCTGGTCACATGTTACATAATTATACGGTCAATGTACGGATTGTCCTACTATATAGTATCTCTTGCGCGTTCTGTAGAAATACGGAAGAGGCGCAGACCTAAATTTATTATCAGATATTTCGATAACTCTAATCTGCTACCTAGCCGGTCACGGTAGCCGAGCGATCGCTTGGAAACCGGGATCGTGGGTTCGAATCCCACTCAGGGCATGGATGTTTAGTTTGTGTACAGGTAGAGGCCTTGCGACGTGTTGATCACCCGCCCAAGGAGTCCTGCCGAATGTGTAAGATCTAGAAAAACCGAAGTGAACGGAGAAGTTCATGGAGGTAGGCCTAGGCCCACTGGGGTTGTAGTGCCAAGAATAAAAAATCTGTTACCTAATGAATAAATGAGCTCAGAATATTCAAACCTTGACGCTTATGCCAGTGTTTCCCAAATGTGTGAGCGGCCACGTTTGGGATGGCAGTGAAACTTGCCCTTGGAGCCGAATTACAAGAAAAAACTTTTAGAATAATATTTATTCCTAAAAGACCTCATTAAATTACAAACATACATTTTAATGAATATGTACGTTATATACGTCTTTAAGGTTCACTTGTAATTATTTTCTGAAAATGCCAAAACACACTTTATGAGACGCCTGGAGAGGAACCACTGATTTAAAATTGCCCATAGAATCTGTTGGGCCAAAATGTTTTGATGTCAGGTACTTAAAAGATTATATTACCTAAGAGACAACATTCACATTTCTGATTATCGTGTTGCCTATTAATATGGTACGTAAAGTAGAGTAAAGTAAAGTTGTTGCTTAACTAATTAAGCACTATGCCATGAAGGCATGTGGTGAGGGTGCATGTATAGATCCAGATTTTTTTGATCTTGGCACCACCTGGAGATGAGTGGTCAGCTTCATGCTCCGGGGAAAGTTCCCCAAGTACCCGTTGGATAGGTGGTTGGGTGGACCACAGAGCCAGTCTGGATTATGTGGAGAAGAGAAAATTCTTTTGATTGTTCATTTACTGGAACACATAAGCAAGAAAAGGATGGAAAAATAAACAGAGATTAGATAAGCAGTGAACTGTGGCCCCAAGACTTCCTGCTAGAAGTCCAACACAATTTGTTTTTGTAGTGTGCTTTGCCAGCTTATTCATTTATGTTTCCTCACCATATCATGTTTGCTTCTTTAATCATTAGAAGAATAAACATATACTATAATAAATAATACACACCGAAAGAAATATTTAAAAACCAAGGCATAGTCAGCCTTTCTGCTACAGCTCACCCCTCTCAATTTATGGATCTGCATGCACTAATTAATGTCATAATATCTCTTCTTTTCATCCTTTCCTTTGTTTTTCAAGGCAACAAAGTTACAAACATTTAAGATGAGAGGAGGAATTATGGTTACAGTCTATTGGGATGTGATGCCATGTAGTTTGATGCCTATTTTCCAAAGTATATGGTGTCATGATCCAGAATATCACAATTTTAAATATTTACCACTGTGAGAACCACGAATATCATACAAGAGGAGCAATTTTTCACTGATCTTGTGAAGACGTTAAAAGTACAGCATTTCCAAACAAAGATTTTTGGAACTGCATACAAAGAGTAATTCTGTGTGAGATAACAGTTTTGTACAAACCATGGAGGCAATGTGTAATTTTGAATAGTCAAACATTCAATTTATTCCATTGATGAATTTATGTCCCTTTAATTCTTAAGTGAGTGTGCTATGGTTTTATGTGCTGGCATATATCATGTCCTCACTTAATCTACAAAAGAAAATCTTTGGATGCAGGGTTTCTTTTGGGTATTGAAATGTTGAAATTGGGATGATGTATTGTATGATTGATGTGTATGAAGTCTGTAGCTAGTTAAGATTTATAGTATAGTTGACTTATGTATGATATGTTCATTCATCTGTAATCTGTCAAGACGACAGGTCCACAGTCTCTTCCAAATCAGTTCCTCCACTTGATGCGATCTAGAGCTTCCTCCTTCAAATGAAAATATCCTCTTCTGTCCCCATGGTCATCCAGCATCTTCTTATGTCTTCTGGTCGCTTCTATCTGCCCCTATATGTTTCCTTCAATAACTTCTTTTAGAAGGCAGTTACTGCGTAAGATATGACCAATCCAATTAGCCTTCCGTTTTCTTATTTCATGTAGGATATTCCTCTGCTCACTGACTCTAACTAACACTTCTTCATTTCTCACATAATCGGTCCAACTGATCTTCTCCATCATCACATTTCGAAGCTTTCCAGGTGTTTCTGATCTACTGCCCTAAGTGCCCAAGTTTCAGCCCCATACAAAGCGATGCTCCAAACATTTCAATAGTTTCTTTCTCAAATTTAAGTCCAATTTGCTGGTAAAAAGATTCTTCTTCTTGCTAAATGCAGCTTTTGCCATGGCAATCCTAGATTTAATTTCACACGTACACCTTCCACCATCTGTTAACAAGCTACCCAAATATTTAACACATTTCTCATTCTCCAGTTGTTTTTGGTCTATCTTTATTGTGACTGGGGTTGGTTGTTTCAAAATTTTCATTACTTTTGTTTGTTATATTAATATGTAGTTACTGACTTGTTCTATATCCTGTGATTGTATCACCAAATATGAATTCTTTGAACAAATAATTTGATTGATTGAATGAAATAGTCCTACCTGTATTGTGTGATTATAATCACACAACAGTAAATACTATTCCCTTATGGGACCATCACTATGGAGTTCATTTACTGAAACCTAGCAACTATTATAACGTTTCAATCAGCAAATGAATACAGTTTCTTCACGTTATAGGGATGGTGATGGGATGCACAATAGATTATTACTTGTCATTGTAAAAGGGCAGTTGTACGCCCATTGTCTTCTTTTGGTGCAAGGGCAATTGTATTTGCCATACTTCCAAACTGCATAAAACATTAAATGATTATAAAAATTGTCAGCAAACCAGAACAGAAATAATAATCATCAGCATCTATGGCTATATATTTATGAATCTGGGAGCTAGCTGAAATGACATATGATGAATATTCTACATGTGATTCCAAAGTAACACATCTCTAGTCCTAAATAAATGTGCACTCACACACTGCTGTTTGTTACCTGTTGCCTCCTCACTGTCAAACCTCTCAGCATCAGATCACTTGTAACATGCTTCACTTCTAGCAACAATGAGAGGAAATCCTGATTTTAACATTATTTGTACCTGCATTTATTATTGTTACAGAGCAGTTTTGCGATACCATCATGCTATGTCTGTGTGCCCACTATTTCAATTTTTGAACTAGCTGATTGATTTTCATGAAATTACAGGCCATCTAAACCTCATACTTCTCAGTTTCATATGCCAGAATCATGAACTTGTGAGGTGGGAATGACACTGACATCAGATGGGCAATTGTCTCAAGTGGTAACACTTATGACTTATATTCAGATGGTGCTTGTTCTGAACTCCAGCTGGGAAACAAGAACAACAGCAGCAGCAACAACAACGATGAAGATCTGGAAGGTTGGTATCTACTTACATTTTTGGGCATGTTGTTTTCTTGGCACACCTCATTATTGATAAAATATTGTGACATAAGAAGACTCCTATTGAACCTTTGTACTGGAAAATAAATTTTGGGTGGAAAAATCATCCATATCCTTAGAAAACAGTTCCCTCATCCTTGCCAAGGTCATCATGGTACACAAACTACAAGGTTAAACATATTCTCAAGTTGCTGTGACATTAAGAAAGGGTATGGACACAAGTTTCCTTTATGTAGCATGAAGCAGAACTGCATAAAACAGACTGTACATATTGTGAGAATTTTGATGTATGACACCACCTCCAGACCCACAACTTTTTTCCACAGAAATGACACCACCACAGTACTGTGCATCTCAAAAATATATTTTCACATACTGGAACAAAGGTTTGTTTCTTTTTTCACAATGCACGGTCTCTCAGCTGGCATTACCAGAACCTGACAGAAATTCGGTCATTAACAGCTGATGTGCACAATAATTCCATGGAAGAGACTGAAATATGGACAGCAATAAGAAATGCTCCCTTCATTAAGCAGTTTTAGAGCAAACACTATTATTCAGTCTTTCAGTCACTATCCACAGGGACTGTTGACTGTAGCATTCTTTCTCACAATGACACCGTTATTATGGCCACCTAGAGGACTCTGCTGATGACCTTCATGCTATTTTTAATTCTGCCAATACCAGCCACTTCATCTTTGCTGGGACTTCAATCTACAATGAAGAATTTGGAATTCCTTAAATCAGTTTCTAGTTTCAGTCAAACTTCAAATGTTTCTCCCACATGAGATCTCTACAAATTTGGTCAAACAGATTTTTACTTCTCCAATATATGGTCTGTTACAGCACACTGTTATGGGTCAGTAATCAGCTACCACAAACCTATCTGAATTTTATGCATGTACTCTCAGCCCACCTTTCATATATGCTGCTGGAAATTAAGATATATTACCTATCCAACAATACCCTAGCCTCCCAGCCGCACTATCGCCCTGGGGTCGACTCGGCCTCTAACTGAATTGAGTACCAGGAATATTCTCGCAATATTCTTGGGGGTAAAGGGCAGCCAGCGCATAAGGCTGACAACCTTGCCGCCATCTATGAGCCGATTGTCTAGAAAATGTGGGAACCTCAACATCTCACAACCCTACGGGCCTCCATGGCCTGTTACAGGAATACCTTTACTTTTTTTTACCTATCCATCAGTATATTCACAGAAATAGATATTAAAGTCTTGTACAAGGCAACAGACACAATATCACCACATATCATTATTTATTACTATGCAATAGTAAAGGTCCACAGTACCAAGGGGTACAAGAGATAGTGACATGTCTCACAGAGCCACTCCTATCGTATAATCATCCTCACTGTTTTGTGGTGCACCCTGTTCTCACTGATAAGGCTCTGGCAATAACTTCATCACTTCATATTGCTTTAGTACATGCACAATTCAATTTCTATAAACATCAAGTTTATATTTTTTATGGACTTAATTACACATAAATAAAGTTTGGTCCCACATAGGGCACTCAATTTATATTGAAACCAAAGCAGGCAATTAGTTCCTCCCACAACCATTTCTACTTACTACTATTCAATTCATTTACTAGAGTGCCTGCTAACAGCTAAAGCCTACAGCACTTAAAGTACATAATAAATACAAAATTAAGACTACAACATACTCAATAAGGTCATGCAAGGGGAAGATATACTACAGGGAAGCCATGTTCCTTCTGAAAATATAAATAAATTGACATCATTAGCAACACTGGAACACTATCGCTTATAGTAAAAAGGTAAAGCTATTCCTGTAACAGGCTGGGAAAGCCCACAGAGTTGTGTGATGTCAAGCGTCCCACATCTTCTAGACAATCTGCTCACATGGCAGTGAGGGTGTCAGCCACCATTTACCTCGAGGATGATTCCTGGTACTCATTTCTGTTAGAGGCTCAGTCTACCCCAGGGCTACTGTGCTGCTGGAAGGATTAGGTAATAAAAAAAATGCAATGACCTTATTTGAATCAACCCGCAACCTTCTGGCTTGTAGCATATTGCCTCAGCCAACTATGCTACTACATGCCCCTTTTTTTGCTTACAGTAAAAATAGAAAATACTTAAATAATTCAGTGGGTACACAAATATTAACGATATGCAGAACAGAGTGATAGCTTATAACAAAGATTCAATGTTCTCTGATGCCACGTAACATTTCAGAGGAACATGCAGCCTCCATCATTGAGGGCTGAAGAATAAGCCAAGCAAGAAGCCAGCATGATGCCAGCAGCAAGCAGGTCAGATCAGTGTTACAAATATTGTTATATCACAGTCACATCAACACTGTGTCATTGGGCACCTGGTGTTAGGCAATATAATATGACATGACAAGTATTAAAAGAACTCTGTTTCTGAGATACACTCCAAAATTCTGAATGATTAGAATATATTAGTTTTGAATGGGTACTGCTAGTACATTTGTTTGTAACATGTCACCATAAGAGGATCTATCAGCACACCAAACTTCATGATCCTAAATTCACTGGTGCTGGTGTTGTTCCTGCTTCACAAGTTTACCGATCCACAACACTGCTACCTTGAGGATAAAGCTGAAAGCTAACAAGTTGGCAAGAACTCTAGTAACGTGAAGCTCACAATGAGTTCCACAAAAATGTGTCCATTAGGGTCAAACACATGTGTCTGATGTTGACCCAGACAGCACTCACTAGCTGGGTTCTGCAGACTGAAACAAAGAAATGCCTTCAGGCTGGACTTGTTAAATGGACACAGAATAAGTCTGTTACCATCACGTAACTGCTATACGTTAAGTATGAACTGATGAATGAAAACAGTCAAATTGTAACAAAATGAAGTCATGTCTAACATGCAGTTAGCCACTGAAAATTAAATGAAACAAACATAAATGCTATCAACAAAAATTATGACAACTCTGGAAGCATTCCAAACACAGTTACAATGATCAGGATACAAATCGGTTTCCCAGTAAACATCAAGTCAACATATAATACTTTGCAAAGCCAATTTAATGTTACTCCTTCACAAATTACATTGCAATTACCTCGCTTGAAATTATATTTCAATATGTAACCTATTCATAATCTTATTAGACAGCAAAGAACACTTCTATGGTACTGACAAGTAGAAATGAAATATATTAAATAAATTCCTTTTAAAGAACTGAATATATACAGTACTAAACCAAACCGCTGGGCATCACTTCAAACTATATGTTAACATACCAAAACATTTAACTTAAACGAACGCAACACACTGTAATTTGTAACTGAAACATTTTTAAATAAAATGGAAACCATATAACATAACAAGAGGTATAAACCCAAACAGAAATAATGCCAACAGCACTACAAACAGAAACAGAAATAATGCCAGTATGTAGGTGAAAACTACAAATCTGCTCAATTCGTTGTCATACTACTGTCTGCTATCAAGAAGATTTACTCGTTTCATATCCACACAAGCCGCAAAGGCTTCTACTTCCTTGGCACAATTTAGTACTTCCCTAGGATTCTGCTGGTAACATTTCTTGACATGCTGTCCAGCATTCGTGCAAGGCGGTTGCTCAAGTTTTGCTGGCAAACGTGAAAACAGTTCCTCGATCTCTTTTGTAGCTTTCTTGTATTCTTCTTCCATTCTCCTGTTGATCTTCTTATGGTTGTCTTCAATCGTCTTCAACCTTTTTTCCCAGTACTGGTCATTTTCTCGTAGTGCCGCTTCTTGATCCTGTCGGATTTCAAGAGAAGTTTTAGGAGTACCCCTTCCATAATATGAATGTGGAAATGAAGAGGTTACCTTTTCGGCATCGAACTGGGGTTGGCTTACTGGACGAGATTCAGATTGACTATCCTTAACTTCTTTTCCACCTTTCAGTCGCTGTACTATAGAATCTGACACTTTGATAACACCAGACTGATCGTCATTAGTAACTGATATTCTCCTTGTATTAGAGCTTTGCGAACCTCCCATATTCCTTCCGTAAACACAACCTCAATATACTTCAATTCCTCACTTCCATCAATACACCTTCCTCCAAATTCCACCATTAACGATCTTCACGATAATAGACGATGATTGTGTCACCTGCCGATATTTTAAGAAACTAGTGGATGACGTCAGACACACCTTCGTCTTTTATTAATGCTTGGCATTTTCCTACTAGATGGCATGGCTTCACTGCACTAATTACTGCTCACTACTGAGGCTACTGAGCTACTGAGGCTTTTTAACTGAATTGAATTGAATTTATTTACATTCTATAAATCCTAAACAGGTTAGTACCTTTGGATACAGAAGTCTGTACAGAAGTTTGACTTGTCCTATATCATGTACAATGATCCATGGATATGATATGAAATAAATAAATAAACATGTCAAAAGGTTACATACATAAGTACAGGCAATTTTAGCTTAAAAATTAATATAACTTAATTTTACATCATTCTCTATTTACATTGAAGTATTCATCTAAAGAGTAGAAGGAATGAGCATGCAGATAATTCTTTAACTCTGATTTAAACTTTTTAGTATCATTGCCCAAGTTTTTAATACTTTGTGGCAGATTGTTGAACACTTTTATGCCAGTAAAGTAGACTCCTTTTTGATATACTGATAAAGTTGATGAGGGTAGGTGGAAGTTATATTTTTGTCTAGTATTCATGTTATAGACATCAGAATTTAATTTGAATTTATCTTTGTTGTAAACAACAAATAGGAGAAGCGATAATATGTATTGCGATTGAAGCGGTAGAATTTTTAATTTCTTAAATAATTCTCTACATGAATCTCTACTTCTACATCCTGTAATGATTCTTATTATATTAACGGAGATAAATCGAACGCCGATCTGGACCTGAAAAATCCCCCGTTCCTCATATTTAGCAATACACATACTAGTTAGGCTTACTAAAATGTGTTTGAAATGAAACCTAAATTCAAATATTTGTTTGACACTTTTCATATTTAAAATGAACTACAAGAAGGGGATGCTTTAATGCTATTGCTTTTCAACTTTGCCTTAGAAGAGGCCTTTAGCAAGGACCAGGGAAGTCAGGTGGGACTGAAATTAAATGGGACACATCGGCTGCAGGTGTATGCTGATGTTGGTAAAATCTATTGGAAGATAATATAAATACCATAAAGAAAAACACAGAATCTCTAATTGATTGTTTTAGCATAGAAACGCAGATAAAGGTAAGTATACGAATATGTTGCTGTCTCATCACTAGAATGTACGATAAGATAGCTAATAAATCTTTCGAAAATGTGGCAGAATTGAAATATTTGGGAATGGCAGTAATGAATAAAAATTAGGAGCGATAAAAATTGGATAATGCCTGCTACCATTCAGTTCAGAACATTTTGTCTTCTCATCTGCTGCCCAAAAACGCACAAATTAAAATATATAAAATTATAATTTTTCTTGTAGTATTGTGTGGGTTTCAAACTTGATTTATGACATTAAGGGAAGTGGGTATTTGAGAACAGGGTGCTGAGAATATTTACCTAGGTTTGTTACCTGTATGGATATATGGAAAATAAAGGAAATGAATGAGTGATAGGAGGTTGGAGAAAACTGCATAATGGGGAGTTCCATAACTGGCACTCTTCTCCAAATATATTTAGAATCATCAAGTCAAGAAGGATGGGATGGGCAGATGATGAATGCATGTAGAATTTTGGTGGGAAAAGCCAGAAGAAACAGACCACTATCAAGATCTAGACATAGGTGGGTGGAAAATATTGCAAGAAGACTAACTGCCTACTTTCCTCTCACTACATACTGAGTATCTGATGACACTGACCATATAAAAATACGACATTCAACAATTCTATTGTTACATGTGTATTCGTTGCCACTGGAACGTGTTTATCTAGCCGTTGCCTAGCAAGGGCGGTCTCTTCTGGCTTTATTGAGGGGATATACACAGATACAGTCTGCAAGTTGATCTCATAAGCCCTCTTTAATTTTTTCAAAATACAGAAAGTGGGCTAAAAATAAATCTCAGAGAAACAAGATGGGGTGGTGAACTGGACTAATCTGGCTCAAGATAGGGACCAGTGGAAGGCTCTTGTGAATACGGTAATGAACCTTCAGGTTCCATAAAGTATTGGGAAATTGAGTACCTGAGAGACTGGTGACTTCTTAAGGACGCAGTTACATGCAGTTCATTTTTTAGTTAGTAGGAGGATTTAGGAAATACACAGAGAAGTCCATTTAGAGCTTTATGCATAACTATGAATGTGGGGAAATCGAAATCAGAATTGCCCAATAAGTTTTAATAAACTGAAACTTTTGCAAATATGCAAAAAGATATATGGAAAAGTCCACTTATGAATTTGTATAACCTAGTTTTTAATATGAATCAATACGGCTACAAATTGGAATTGCATGACAGCTTTCGATGGAAGTCTAACATCGAATTTCAACAAAGTCTGTGAAATTGTTTATGAGATCATGGAAAAGTCCAATTATGACCTTATGTTAACTAGGATTTATTATGGTTTAATGACTGAAAATCGAAATAGCCCAAGAACTTTTGGTATAAAATTTTAAGAAAATGTCTCCATAGATTTAAGCTGTTTAATACTGGGTCACAGATGGACAGACAGATAACCATGACAACATAAGGCATTCTTGTTTTACTTTGTAAAGAACTCCTAAATCACAGTCCTCTATCCTTATCTACATTAGTGACAGATTTGTATATTGCTCTACAGTAAGAATTTTTAGTGCTCATTTTCACCAAAAAAGTTCAGCAGAGGATACATGGGACAAAATTACAAAATTTGTATGTACAATATTACGTTCTAAGATCCACAATCTAATTACTTCTATTTGGCATAAGGAAAAATTGCCTGATCAGTGGAAGGAGTCTATTATTGTACCAATTCACAAGAAGGGTGATATTCTCTGTAATTGTTGTAGTTGTTAATCATATTTGGTTTGTATTCATTGTGGTAGGATGTCCTTATTGTTGTTTGTCTTTTTATTTGTGTAGTTTTGTTTGAACGTGTTGTCACTTAGTGTAATGTGTGTTACTTGTCTGTTGTGTCCTATTGTGTACTACTGCCACCGGGCTAAAACCCAATTGCAGTATAATAAATAATATATAAAACTGACTGTAGTAATTATCGGGCGATATCACTGCCATCAACTTCATATAAAATTTTATCCAATATTCTCTTTTCAGGGTTAAGTCCATATATAGATGAAATTATTGGGGATTATCAGCGGGGATTTGACGTAACAGATCAACTACAGATCAGATCTCTAGCATTCATCAGATATTGGAGAAATAATGGGAATACAATGAGACAGTACATCAGCTATTCATAGACTTCAAGAAAGCCTATGATTCAGTTAGGAGGGAAGTATTGTACAACATTCTAACAGAGTTTGGGATACCCATGAAACTAGTAAAAGAGCAAAGCTATCCCTGTACCAGGCCATGAAGGCCCATAGCGTTGTGAGACATTGAGGGTCCCACACTATCTAGACAATCAGCTCAAAGGTGGCGGTAAGGTTGTCAGCCTTACGTGCTGGCTGTGCTTCACTCCCCAGGAAAATTATTTAATTAATTCCTGGTACTCATGTCTGTTAGAGGCTGAGTAAACCCCAGGGTCTAGTGCGGCTGGAAGGATTAGGTCAACCGAAAGAATCCAATGACCTCATCGAGACTTGAACCCGTGACCTTCTGGCTTGTAGCATAGCCCCTCAACCAACTACGCTCCTGAAAGTAGTTAGGTTGATTAAACTGTGTTTAAACGAAACGTATAGTAAAGTTCGTGTAGGTAAACATTTGTATGATAAATTTCCTATCCAGAATGGTCTAAAACAAGGAGATGCTTTATCGCCACTCCTTTTCAACTTCGCATCAGAATATGCCATTAGGAAGGTCCAGTGAAACCAGGTGGGATTGAAATTAAATAGGACAAATCAGCTGTTGGTCTATGCCGATGATGTGAATCTACTGGGTGATAATGTAGACACCATAAAGAAAAACACACAAACTTTAACTGACACAAGTAAAGAGGTTGGTCTAGAAGTAAACACAGAGAAAACTAAGTATATGTTACTGTCTCATCACCAAAATGCAGGGCAAAATCATGACATAAAGAGAGGAAACAGATGTTTTGA